GGGCTACACACCTACCAACAACCAAGCTCCGGATAGCGACTTGCAAGTTATGCCTGTGCTCCCGCGAGGTAAACTATGTAAAATCGAGATGTCTAAGATGTCGCTTGTACGGCCCTAGGAAAGAGAGATTTCTGACATGGCGGTTGCTCGGGTGTGATAAATATTGTGGCAAAGTCCAGCCTTCTACGATCGGTGGCGCCTGGCACGTGCCGCGGCACGGCAGCAGAACACCTGCAGAACCGGTTAGTTTCTGTTTATTCTGTATGAGGCTACTCGGCCTTAGTGGGTCATTTTGCGCCTAGGGTGCTCATTCGGGACAATGTTTATTCGACAATTTTTTCGGGGAGCTCATGTTGTTTTGTCAGGATGAGAATTATGTTTATTTAAAATTATTTCCCTCGCAATTGTGTCACAAGGTATAGTTCTGCGTTGAACGAAATGCTATATTTTGACCAATGGTCTTCCCCAAGCAAATCTAGATGTTACAGCAAACCGCGTAACACCGCAAACGTCAGGTTCCGTTTCAATGAGCGGGTTAAGAACGTGGGGAATGATACTTGGGACACTCTCTTAGGGGAATATTTGGGGAACAGAGTGGCGATGTTGATTTTTCAAGGATCAGTGACCTCTCACTGGAAGTAAATGTCATCATCTGAACAGTGGAACATCCTGACCGCAAAATTTCAGTCGCTTTTTATCCGTGAGGAAACAGGCTGAAAAGTAGCTCAGTGTCAGGGCCTGTTTTTTTTAAAGTTTCCGTCTTTCTTTTTGCAACGTTGACGCTATCTGTAGTGTTTTGTGTCTCTTACATAGTTTTTTTTCTTGGCCATTGTGTTGTATTCTTTGTGTTCAAGCACGTGTTTGCACATCTGGTCAAAACAAGGGGAGGGATCAAGGATTTCGTCAAGGGGTCCATGCAACATTGTAGTGCTTCCTAGCGTCTGGGGCCCCTCCAAGAATGTTCTTGCATTCCGGTCGTTTAACTTTAAGATAAATTTGAATATATATATATATATATACATATATATATATATATACATACATATATATATATATATATATATATATATATATATATATATATATATATACGTATATATGTGTATACAACAAAAATAAATAAATAAACATGTATATACATAGCTAGATACATATTCACGTACACACATATATATATATATACATATATATATATATATATATATATATATATATATATATATATATATATATATATATATATGTACACATATATCTATACATATATAGCACATACGGAAGTCCATCTTGCTGTGCGCAGCCCCTAAGAGCTGGGCGTGCTACGTGTGCTTATACATGGAGCTCACTCATCTCCTACAGATCATGTTAAAGCCTGTAATTTTGAGGATAAGTGTTTCGGAAAAACAGACAAAATAAACTCAGGTTAGCTGCCAAATACCATCAAAACCAAGCGTGGACTTGATTCCTAGCAAATTTACGGCTAGCCCGCTGGGCGATGTAATCAGCTGATGGCTAAACACTAGTACACACATTTTTATTTGTTTTAGAGGAATATAAAAATCCTAGCATTCAAAATATGTTAATAACGTGATACATTAGTACAAGTATCACACCGTTGATAGCCAAGAGAAAAGACACACACGGAGTTGGCGGTACTTGCAATAGCGTTTGACAACTGCGCGTAACAATCCATCGGCGCACATCCGACTGTTGCTCTAAGGCATGAGGGACAATAGGAACGAAACTTGGGCGATCATGGGCCCGCAGGAGGCCAACAAAGAGGCTCCCGCAACAAGCCTAGGATCCTCAGAGTAGGCGAACAAAACCCAAGACCATCGTGGGGGCCCTTAAACGATCGGTAATGCCCGGCAGGCTGACATATAAGGCTCCGGTCAAAGCAGAGGGCCCTCTGAGCAAAGACGAATTACCCAAGACCATGAATAAATACCCCTGTGCGATGAAGAATGTGCGGACAGATTAACAAAAAAAAACCTTGAGAGGAATGAAGAGCCTTCTGCAAATGAGATAAAAGGGAAAGAGCCCTCAATCAAAGTAGAGGGCCCCCGAGCATCACGTGTGTCAGTGCCTTACCTTATATGAGTCCCAGCAACAGCACAAGGTCCTCCGAGCAAGTGGAATGCACCCGAGACTAGTATGATGGAGCCCTAAACAATTGAGCGCACCCTGGCATATGGGGCCCCGGAAAACGCGAAAAGAATCTTTCGGACGAATGGGAAGAATCAATGGAGGAAAACCTGACTGATCAAATGTGCCCAGGCATGGCAGCAGATAACGTCTCAACAGTAGCGTTGGGTCCTACGAGAAAATGCAGAACTCAAGGGCAACGTGGGAAGCTCCTTAGCGATCAGATTGACCCGGAGAGTGGACATAAAGGGCCGAGCAACAGTACAACGCCTCTGGACAGCGTAATAAACCCAAAAATTTCCACAAGCAACACCTTCTTAATCAGCGAAGAATTAGCTTTGTCCGCTTATGAACTCTTTTCTTTTGCCAGCAACCGTTCTTGGTCGTCTGTGGCGCAAAAATGTTCGATTTTGTCGTGTTTCTGTTTTGTTAGAAGACTACGTCCGTTCAGACAATTATGGTCATCTTCGGAGCCTGTGGGTCCCCTCGGCATGGCCCATGGGCCCATGGCCCGTGCCTTCCCCCCCCCCCCCCCCCCCTCTGTATCCGCCACTGGCCCGAGCAGCTTAACAGATGGGCCCGCCACAAGCATAGGCCCATGCATTCAAGTAAGAAGTGCCTAGACACGGCATGTAAGGCGGCGGAATTATCGAGCGTGCCCAAGAAGGTTAACAGATGGGAACCCCGACAAGAGCGCAGGATATTAACTTCATACACCAATACCCAATGTGCAGGGCCCTCGAACGATCCAGTATGGCCGAGGAGGCGAACAGAGGGGCCCCCCAACAGGTGCGTTGGCCTCCCCCATTGAGATAGGACGTATCCAAGGTCCAATGAAGAGAGTCCCCGAACGATCTAATGTGCCCGGGCAGGTCATCAGATAGGCCCCTGACAAGAGTGTAAGGCCCGCCATTCAGATAAAAAGCGTCCAAAAAAGCAAGCAAGACCCGGTGTGGGGGGCCCCCGAAAGATCGAATATACCCGTACAGGCCATCAGATGGCCCCCGACAAGAGCATGGGACCCCACATCAAATTAAATTTAAACCCCAAGCAGTCTAGTGTGCCCGAGCAGGCTAACGGATTGGGCTCCGACAAGTGTGTCCCTCCATCGGAATAGAAAGTACCCTAGACCCAATTTGGAAGGCCCAAATGACGGTGTGCTCAAGCAAACTAACAGAACCGGAATTGCCTCAGACCAATGTAAAGGTCCATGAGCATATCGCGGGTGTGCTGATAGGTTAACCGAGACCAACGTGACGGGCCCCTGAGCAACCGAGAATACCCCGGCGGTTAACATATGGGGCACTGGTTAAAACCTACGAGGCCTTTCTCACGAATAGAAAGAATCGCTGGAAGACCCCTTATTGACAAGAGCGCCCCAGCACGCTAGCAGGAAGGGCGCAGCAACAATGCAGGGCCCTCCGAGCAAATGCAAAGAGATCAAGGGAAACATGGAAGGTTTCTTCCCTAACGATCATATTGGCACTAAAAGTGGGCATAAACGTCCCCCGAAAACGGCATAGGGCTCTTGGACAGCGTAATAATGCTTAAAACTCCCAACAACTTTTCAGTCGTTGACCCCTTTCAATCTGTCGTGAGCACGGTTGTCAGCTGAAATGCACAACGTCACGCGTGCTGAACGTGCACACTGCGTTCGGTGTATAGGTTGAAAGGAGTTTTTAAACTTTACTTTCCATTCTTCTACATTTTACTTCAGCCCACACACCAACGTCACCGCCGACCTTGACACACTACGCACAAAATGGTTTTGGACGTGTGGCTTCTGTTCCGAAATCACCATCATCTATCCCATCCGTGTGTTGAGGCTTCTTCCCATTTTCAATTCATTTCAGTTTTGTCCTCCTCATTTTCTATTTACTTGTGACGCCATTTATTTACTGAGCAACGCAGCCACACACCACACCAATCACTGTCACCCATCTTTTCATAGATACTCTTTGCATTTCAATCCCCACCTTACCTATCTATCCTTACCTTTCTTACGTCGCGTTTACCCAAACTTAGAGACAAGTGCCCCCACCGCACCTAACGTACTCGCAAGCGCCAGAGCTACCAGATCAAACACGCGCTTCAGAGTGATTGTTTAATCTGGTAGTATTTTCGCCCCATGCTGACAGGCTGACAAAAAAATCTTGCCATCGCAGCGCGTGACGTAAAAGGCCACATGACGTTGGGTCTACGCGACGTGACGCGGGCGAATACTGGGCCGTGATTGGTGCTGGAAAACGTGCTAATGACACATCGAACGCGACCATTGAATAATTTTTACCTTCTCTTAGAGCTCTTACTTTCGTTTACAACTGTTCTTCGTAGTGTGGAAATCCAGGATGGTCAATCTTGTTGCGTTTAGTGTTTTAAAAAAACTGCACCTGTTCGGCCAGTTATGGATCCCTTTGGAGCCTGTGGATCCCTCCGGGGCTCAAGGGGGGGGGGGCATGGCCCCGTGTCCCCCCCTTCTAGATGTGCCCCTGGGTTAAAACTTGGGATGGGACCGTCGCGATTTTGCGATGTTTATATTTCTTGCGATGATGTGATGCGAAATAAACCTATCAAGTACCAACCAAATAACCACGTAAGAGGCGTAACGGCCCCGTGGTTGCACACGGCATCCTCGGTTGACACATGGTGCTCCCGGATACGAATTACGGTCATGCCATGGCCCCTGAGAGCTGCACTCGCTAGCGCTCCATAAATTGCAATTGACTCCAGCGCTTTCTCATTGCATGGAAAGGATCTCTTCAAATTGGTAGCCAATTGAGGGTGGGGCTCCATATGGTATCTATCAGGGAAGGCGGTTATTGCGCAGCGAGATTTTTTCGGCCGCAGGCTCACAGTAATAAACGGAACAGTGTTCTATAGCCCTGAGGTGAACCATCTGAGCCGGCTTCCGTTGGCGCTTCGGCTGAATTGGGTTTCGCGGAGTATCTGAGGCATTGTTCTTGATTTCGTCGAATGTGAAGGAAGTGGCAGAGCTCACAGCTGCTTACGTAGACTGACCAGAGTCCGTAGGTGTAAGTATTACCAAATATAAATCGGCAAACTTCGTGGACATTGATGTTCTGATCACTGGCCGCCCAGACTAGGAATATACGGCATGCGAAGCATATCTGATGCAGTATGTAATAGCAATATCACTGCAATTATTCCAGTGTTTGTATGTGGAGATAAACAGTGCCTCAAATGTTTTTGTAGTCACTACCAATTTCAGCACACATAGACAATATATTCAAGATGTGTTATTTTGATGGTAATTTGATGTAAAAATGCTCTTTAAGTATCTGTCATGAGTGAATAATTTGATCATTCTGTACAAGTTGTCATGGGTTGAGTGGGACACTCAGTTAATGGGCTCAGTGGCCAGGGTACATGTTGACCAAGGGTTTACAGCAGACAATAGATGGATTTTCTGTGGATTGAATCAGTTGCCAGCATGTAAAAAATCAATTGAATGTAGGATCCCATGTAACATCTGGGTGCCCTGAACCTGGTGCTCTTTCTAAAACATGTTTTGGGGACACTATGCTAAATTTAGGTTCAGACCGGGCCAAACTCGGCTCAGTTTTCTATCTTTTCTTGAAATTATTGCTTTTGCCTGATTTGGTTTATGCATCGCTGCCTGTGATAAGTTGTCAACATCATGATACAGAACTCAGAACATTAGCTGGTTATGTGCTAAAACTGATGGCTACTTTGCTGCACCTGAGCATCTTAATTTATTTTAACATGCATGTGCTGAAATTGTAACCAAAATGTTGCTTCTGCATTCAGCACAATGTGTATTTTGTGGTTAAGACTGATAAAAATGAATGCCAGGTGACAAGGGTACTTCAACCATTCCCACAGCCCATTTCTCTAGGTGACTGACACAAATTGAATGGATGAAGAACTTTTATGCAGTGAAAGAATGTTTTCTTTCCTATCCAAAAAATTGTGTCTGGACCAACCCAAAATCATGTAGTACTCATGGTTGCTGACATTTTGAAAGCTGTTGCATATAGGTCTTAATGTTATGTAGTGATGGCACATGTAATGTTATGGAGTGCTGACTCACTTTAGGCTCTGGGGACCTTCACTGCATGGCTGTAGTTCTAATCCCATTTTTAATAGCACAACTAATCCAGAACATCCTTGTGTATGAGCAATGCACAGCAAATGTTCAAATTTGAAAATTAGTCATGCATTAGTGCAATCAGCATTGAGATACATTGTAAACTGGGAATCAGCTCCTAGTGCCACACAATTTCATTGAGAACACACAAAATGTTTCTTAATAACAAGGCTGTTGACCATGTGAATGGGATTTTGTTCCAGGAAATGGCTGTGGCAGAGAAGCACAGTTTTGGCTTGGAGCCAATAACCACCCATGCCTGGAACTCCACCAGAGACAGTAAGAGCAAGATGCGCTGAGTCATCGTAATACACCGTCTTGAAATACCATGCCTGACATTTCAACCATATATCATGTGTGGCATGCATAGGAAATTTCCTTATTCATGCATGACAAATTTGCTGAATTTGTAGAAATATTCAAGACTTAAGGCCAGGTCCACGAAAGAACCTCTTCCGCGCCGTCCTCCAGGTGGCGCGTAGTCGCCCGCCCGGCGATGCGACGGCAAGGTGCACCCGAGCAGGTGCGGAAGTGCTGGTGGCCGGCTGGTCGATAATTGCGAAGCCTCACAATGGATCTCTCGGCAAATTAGACCGTCCAGACTTTTACAAATGTAGCACGTGTGCATGTGTCGTTAAGTAGCAAGGCTATAACGACAATCTCATTGCATTCGGATCCACTCTCACGCATTGAGAAAAGCCACTTCGGCTGGGTTGCTCCAAGTCCAGTAAGGGACCTCCTTGCAGGCGAGATGCCAGAACGGCCAAAACGGCACAAACAATACGTGTGTGTGTGTGCCACACGTAGACATTTGTGGACCATGCTATGGCTTTGAGAGATTGAAGATGTCATTGGACAAGTGGAATGAGCGCAGCATATGTGTATGTATGTGAAAACGATGGGCATGTGCTCATTGTTCTTCGGATTTCGGAACTGAAATTGTGAAGTTCCTTTGTCAAGGCGGTCTGAGCGACATGCGGCCATGCGGCCGAGAATCACCCCAGGTCCAGCAACGGACCTCCGTACAGGCTAGATGTAAGACCGGCCAAAAGGGTACAAATGTGTGACGTGTGACGTAGAGACATGTGTCGACCACTCCGTCCGTTTGCTGATAGAATATGCCATTATCAAAGCCATTTAATGTAAAACGGTCTGGCTGCGCTCGTACAGCCGTCCGTGATCATTAAGCGAGACCTTTTTCCGGCGGTCATATGGAATATTTTTATTTAGATGTTTCCTCTGACCTACACCCAATCATAAACTTCTTACAAAGCCGCACTATCACATGGGCTTGAAATGGGAAGTCATTTTTCCACAATGGTCATGACGGGCGATAAAGACATTGTTCCTTGATGTCGGGAAAACATATCTGTATGGCTGTAATGTGAAAGAAATCAGGCGTTGCGATGGGTCAGGTCAACCGCATGAGCTGGGCTCTCCCCCAACCCGATTTTGGTAAGTGCCCCCCCCCCCCCCCCCCCTCCCGTGGCTAGCCGCCGAGCTCAAGTGTCAGCTGGCGGTGACCTTGACCTAACGTGCCGCCCGGGTGAGTGGTGCGCCGGCGGCGGTGTGTAGGGGACCGGGAAGTCCTCCCCTCCCCCCCCCCCCCCACTCTTTTGAGAATACCTAGGATGGCAAGGTGGAAGACAGATTCCATCCAACTCGGCTAGAGCCAGAGGCGGCGGTGAAATTTCAGTATGTGGTGAAGGGGAGACGGCTTTCTGTAACAACCTGCAGGGGCGTAATCTTGCAATGAGAGTTTGTGGGTTGAATCGCAAAAAAAAAACTGAAACTACCGCCCCTTCAAAACAACCACCGTGTTTCACCCCGGATTTGGTAAATTTTTCTGTCATTGTGGAGGGTGGATAGGAGGGGGGGGGGGAGGGGGGGGGGGCAGGGCGGTCAGAGGGTCTTCCTTTTGTGGGTTTTGGCGGTCTCACATCTAACCTGCAGGGAGATGCGTTACTGGCTATGTGTCGACACTCAATCGGACGGCGTCTATCACGCAGAGGACTTTCAAAATGGAAACGTAACAGTTCCATTCCAGACAGTGATAAAATGGTTGAAACATATATCCATATTTCATACGCCTGCACACGCGCATCGTTTGTGCCATATTGGTCGGTTTTGTGTCTAGCCTACAGGGAGGTTTGTTTATGCTCTTACTGGACTTCAGCAATTCAGCTGAAGTGGCGCCTCGCGATGCGTGAGTGTGAGCCCAGAAGAGATGACACGGTCGTTACAGCTCCGGCATTTTGATATCTTCGTGCACACGTCCTACGTTTGTACCAGATTGGGCGCTTATTCACCTAACTTGTGATGAGCTCCGTTGTTGAACTGGAAACGATTTTCGACCGGGCGGCGGGCTGTCAGAGTTTTAAAAGAGAAGCTCAACAGTGCCGCTCACGAGGCCATAAAGCGAGCGACGCCTGCCTTCATATGACGCATGCGTGCATACGTGCCACGTTTTTGCCGTATTGCCCGGTCTCGCATCCGACCCGCACGGAAGTTCCTTAATGGGCTTGAGCAATCCAGCGGAAGTAACACTTCGTAATGCGCAAGAATGGACCCGTAGGCGATAAGATGGTGGTGACAGCTCTGGCATTCAACCACACACGCGCATATGCTACGTATGTAAAAGGTTTGGTGGTCTTGCATCTTATTTGCCGGGAGGTCCGTTGTTGGACTTGTATGTAAAGCTCAAACGGTTAGTGTGACCGGATCGCTGGTGGCGACTCTCAGCAGCGCGCGCGTCTGCCCCCTCCGCAGAGGTGGCGCTGTCGCCCAACAGCAAGGACGTGCTCATCTATGGCCGCACGGGCACCGAGTGGCGCCAGCAGGCCATGCTGGACCAGCACGACCTGCGCGTCACGGGCATCGACTGGGCGCCCAAGTCCAACCGGATCGTGACGTGCGCCGCTGACAGGTGCGCCCCTCCCCCTCGCCCTCCCCGGCACCGCTGGCCGGAAGCGTGCCGTCCGAACGCAGCGGAACGCTCAGGCGGCGGTCATTAGCAGCTGTCACGGACACAGGTCGTAGTCTCAGCTGTGGTGGCACGTTGCGTTTGTTTGCAAGTGCCCTCCCCACACTATTCGCTGTGCCCCCAGGCGTTGTTTGACCTTTGTTTGCTTTTTGTTTGTGTTTTGTTAACTGAAAGCTTACACAAATTAGGGATGATATGAGCATCACACAATGACTACCTTCCGTGGCATTTTTAATGATCATGGTTACCATGCTGCTCAAATGGATGCACTTGCTTTATAGCCTTAAGTGTTTCTTGTCTGGTTTTATTTTTTGGTTACTACGCCCTCGCAAACAAGTTGGAAAACGCTAAAACAACTTGCGAACTTCCACCCGGCCTCAGTGTCCACCCATTCAGAGAGCAACTCGCAAGTCTCACGCTGATCCTTACATTTTAGTAGATGATCTATTTTCTAGAATGTCTTTAAATGAACAAGCTAATTCAGCATACAATTCAACATATTGCAACTATTCAGTGTTGCACAGTGTACACTGAGTTGATGGTTATTATATGATATTCCTTTATAATTTGACATAAGCGATTTCATTTTTGCATTATCTCACAAAGTTCAGCATTTTCTGTTTTGAAATTGTATATCGTTTATGCTTTATATCATTACATAACATGCTAACTCGGACTACAATTCAGGATACCGCTAGCTGCTTAGCGTTGCGCCATGCAGTGCCTGTCCGCCATTGTTATTGCGAGCCTTACTTAACAGTCATTATTCCCTTGCCACCCAAGAGCAACTCCGACATGGGTAGCTAGTTGGGTGTGGCGTCTGAGTCATTCTGATATGCCAGGATGAAAACCAGAACGTAAGCATGACGCAACTGAAACGACGATACTTTGTTGTGTTTTGGGGAGGACCATGGGTCCTTGCCTCCTCTAAAGGTGTCTCTACCTGTTCTGCATGTTTTCTTCCTACTTAAAGTATTACAAGGCAATAGATACCCTGGCAAAGTTTTCTTAATTAAGTAATTTATGCTGCAAAGAAACTATTTGGGTGGCTGCACTTCATTTCATAACCGCGGGCTGATCAGACTTATGTTATAGGCACTTGTGTTTGCATTAGTTAAATTGGGGACGTTCTGAACACGTTCAGACGAAATCGCGGCCTAATTTAAGTGGCAACCATTTGATGAAGCAATACAGTCAATGCAAATTTTCTAATGGAGCACACATACAACGCCACCGGACGTTCATCTTCGAGGCACCCACCGGGGGGCGGAAGCATGCAAGCGGCAGACTTCCGCACCAGTCTCAGACTGCTCACCCCGGGTCACTTCGGGTCACACGCGAAAAAAGTCGCCGGGCTCTGCGAAATGTGTCCTTAAGCGGCTGACCAGTGACCTGGGTCACGTACCCAAGTGACGTCACGTCACGCGCAACACCCGGCCAGCCACCCGGATCGGGCTTCTCGACAGTGGCGGATCGAGCGCCCAGTGGCAGTGGCGGATCAAGGCGACGGATCAAGCGCTGGGAGGCAGTGGCGGATCGAGCGTTGAGTGGCAGTGGCGGATCGAGGTGACGAATCAAGCGCCGGGAGGCAGTGGCGGATCGAGGTGACGGATGGAGCGCTGGGAGGCAGTGGCGGATCGAGCGCCGAGTGGCTGTAGCAGATTGAGGCGACGGGTGGAGCGCCGGCAGGCAGTGGCGGATCGAGGTGACGAATCAAGCGCCGGGAGGCAGTGGCGGATCGAGGTGACGGAGTGAGGGCTGGGAGGCAGTGGCGGATCGAGCGCCGAGTGGATGTGGCGGATCGAGGTGACGGATCGAGCGCTGGGAGGCAGTGGCGGATCGAGCGCCGAGTGGCTGTAGCAGATTGAGGCGACGGGTGGAGCGCCGGCAGGCACTGGCGGATTGAGGTGACGGATCAAGAGCTGGGAGGCAGTGGCGGATCGAGCGCCTTGTGGATGTGGTGGATCGAGGTGATGGATCGAGCGCCGGCAGGCAGTGGCGGATCGAGGTGACGGATCGAGCGTCGACAGACAGTGGCGGATGGAGGTGACAGATCGAGCGCTGGGAGGCAGTGGTGGATAGAGCGCTGAGTGGCAGCGGCGGATCGAGGTGACGGATCGAGCGCTGGGAGGCAGTGGCGGATCGAGATGACGGATCGAGCGCTGGGAGACAGTGGCGGATTGAGCGTTGAGAAGCAGTGGCGGATCGAGGTGGCGGACCGAGCGTTGGGAGGCAGTGGCGGATCGAGATGACGGATCGAGCGCTGAGTGGCAGCGGCGGATCGAGGTGACGGACCGAGCGCTGGGAGGCAGTGGCGAATCGAGATGACGGATCGAGCGCCGGGAGACAGTGGCGGATCGAGCGTTGAGAAGCAGTGGCGGATCGAGGTGACGGACCGAGCGTTGGGAGGCAGTGGCGGATCGAGATGACGGATCGAGCGCTGAGTGGCAGCGGCGGATCGAGCGCTTAGAAGCAGTGGCGGATCGAGGTGACGGACCGAGCGTTGGGAGGCAGTGGCAGATCGAGCGCTGATTGGCAGAGGTCATGCAGGATGCAATAGGGATATTGTAAAATGCAAGCTGTATACCGGTAGCTGTAACAAATAACACGAGTTTATACGGTTGTAAACCAACCAACCACGCGGGAAGCACTGTTTAGACGCCGTTACCAAGCAGGCTGCGGCGCGTTTCTGACAAACTCGGCGTTTCCAAACGGTGCTCATAGTCACGAGCGTCAATGGCTGCTTCATAACGTCATTATACGAAGTTTGCTCGATAAATTCGCTCAGCCATGACCTCCTGGCATTCGTATTCGTATTTGTACTGGCGTCGGTAGTCTACACGAACACGTGCCCATTTCTCATAAAGTCAGGCGTTCGGGTGATGATAAACCTCACCCATTACGTCAGCTCGCGGTCTATGCATACTGAAGGAGACACAAGTAGGCTAATCTTAAGGGCGTTTAATCACGTCCTACCAGCAGCTGTTGCTTCACATGTGCCCGAGGTGCAGGTGGTATACTGGACGTCGCCTGCTTGCGACAGAAAAGCCAGGTTTGCGGAATGATTGACTTGCGATATTTGTATCGGGGATAGCAATATTCACCTGGCTATCATTCTCGTCTGATTCACTAGTATATGCACAGCTATTTGTAGGTGCTGTCAGTGGTAGAGCACTCGGCTCGTGATCAGGAGACTCCATTTCGAATCTCAACACTTCCGTGGAGAAGGTTCGGGTTGTGACGCGCACGTGGCTGATGGCCGAATACCGTCCAGTACATCTCAGGGCTCAGCAACACCCGGCGACGGCCGGAGAGCTGCGTGGGCAATACCGTGTGTACATGCTGATGCACCAGAAGAGCGTGGTAGTCCGAACAATCAGTCCATCCGTGATGAAAACTCGTTTCTGTGAAAACGGAACCGGAAGATGCCTATGCCATTTGATTATGTTCTGGTTTTCATGCCATCCATGTCTTCGCAACTGGCTGATTCGTAATCGATTAGCCTTCAGCAGTGGGCATTTTTCGCTGCTCGGATGACTTCAATATGAGAAATAGCCGACCATCTCGGCCTAGAAATGGGCCGTTTCGGAGCAATTTCCATGTACAATTTGCACCACCCACATATGTCTTGGTGAAAGCCTTATTCCTGCTCTGTTCAACGCCGTGGGTTGAGGGCCAGTTCTGTGGCGGGGCTCAGAAAAGAATGGCCACATTCCTGTCAATCCTAACGTCGTGGATGGACGCTCAATTCTGTGGCGGGGCTCAGAAAAGGGTACCCGTATTCCTGCTCTATTCAACGTTGTGGATTAAAGACCAGTTATAAGGCGTGGCTTGGAAAAGAATGGCCCTATTCCTGCTCTGTTCAACGTTGTTGATAGAGGTCCAATTCTGGAAAAGGCTGGACAAGGGGGACGTTGCCATGCTTGACACCCTAGCAGAAATCGGTTTAGAACCGAGGGACCGAAAAAAAAACAACAAATAAAACCGAAATACGCAACGAAAAAGCGAGAAAGGGCAGAAGGAACTGATAGTGTTGTCGGCACTGGACCGGCGAGGTGACTGACCAGGGAATTGGTAAGGTGCGATATAGGAAGCGATTTGATGTGTTTTGCCCTCGTTTTCAGACAGGTTGTTTCAGCCTTTCTATTTGCATGCTTAAAGTGAGTACCTGTCAGCTGCTTATAGAGAGCCGTCTCATTCGCAAGTTTTCTGGGCGGGCTTGATCTTTTTATCTGGTGACTAGCTTCGCTGGTCTCGTCACCTTCGCTGCGCAGGGAAGAGTTGTTTCCGACGATATTGCCGATTTCACGCACGATGCCTGGAGGCAAACATTTAACAAAACTCTGGCGACAGATGATCTACAACCCAGACCTGAGTCGGCTGGAGCGTCTTAGCGTTGACCCGTACGGTAGCTCAAACTATGTCAGATTACTTCCTCCCGCTCCCGCCAGCGTCTCCGCGCAGAGCTCAAGCTATGTCAGATTACTTCCTCCCGCTCCCGCCAGTGTCTCCGCGCAAAGCTCAAGCTATGTCAGATTACTTCCTCCCGCTCCCGCCAGTGTTTCCGCGTAGAGCTCAAGCTACGTCAGATTACCTCCTCCCCTCTCTCGCCAGTGTTTCCGCGCAGCGCAGAGTTCAAACTGTCAGATTACTTCCTCCCGCTCCCGCCAGTGTCTCCGCGCAGAGCTCAAGCTATATCAGATTACTTCCTCCCGCTCCCGCCATTGTTTCCGCGCAGAGCTCAGGCTCTGTCAGATTACTTCCTCCCGCTCTCGCCAGCGTTTCCGCGCAGAGCTCAAGCTATGTCAGATTACTTACTCCCGCTTCCGCCAGTGTCTCATGGACATGGACACGTCTTTCTTTTAAATAGTTTTAGGAGGGTCCTCGCCTTCCAAGCAAGAAATGCTGGCATGCGAACTCGTTCCGTGTGGTTTTTCGGTCAGTTTATTTTTCAGTTATTGATGCTCGCGGCGTCCGCCCATCAGCATCAATGTACGCAGCGCTGGCTGTTATGTACGTGATTCAAAATTGTGTTTTTTGCATACAGCTCAACTGAGAATCATCACGACCCTCGTAATGTTTATAAGCTAAGCTGGCGTATCAACTGCACGCGCTCCGCAATCTTTTGACCCGATTTCGGGGCGCTCTATTTGCCTGCTAAATTACTGCATATATATATATATATATATATATATATATATATATATATATATATATATTGTACGCTGCCGTAAGTTACGTCCGTTCTCTGACGGCCAGCGCGCGCGTGCCTGCAGGAACGCATACGTGTGGACGCAGGAGGCGGGCGGCAAATGGCGACCGACGCTGGTGCTACTCCGGATTAACCGCGCCGCCACCTGCGTCAAGTGGTCCCCGGAAGGTAGGTCAGCGTGCCGCAGTCGGCGAGGGGTCGACCCGTCAAGTGGTCCCCGGTGGGAAGGTCAGCGTGCCGCAGTCGGCGAGGGGTCGACCCGTCAAGTGGTCCCCGGTGGGAAGGTCAGCGTGCCGCAGTCGGCGAGGGGTCGACCCGTCAAGTGGTCCCCGGTGGGAAGGTCAGCGTGCCGCAGTCGGCGAGGGGTCGACCCGTCAAGTGGTCCCCGGTGGGAAGGTCAGCGTGCCGCAGTCGGCGAGGGGTCGACCCGTCAAGTGGTCCCCGGTGGGAAGGTCAGCGTGCCGCAGTCGGTGAGGAGTCGACCCGTCAAGTAGTCCCCGGTGGGAAGGTCAGCGTGCCGTAGTCGGCGAGGGGTCGACCCGTCAAGTAGTCCCCGGTGGGAAGGTCAGCGTGCCGCAGTCGGCGAGGGGTCGATCCGTCAAGCGGTCCCCGATGGGAAGGTCAGCGTGCCGCAGTCGGCGAGGGGTCGACCCGTCAAGTAGTCCCCGGTGGGAAGGTCAGCGTGCCGCAGTCGGCGAGGGGTCGATCCGTCAAGTAGTCCCCGGTGGGAAGGTCAGCGTGCCGCAGTCGGCGAGGGTTGAGCCGTCAAGTGGTCCCCGGTGGGAAGGTCAGCGTGCCGCAGTCGGCGAGGAGTCGACCCGTCAAGCGGTTCCCGGTGGGAAGGTCAGCGTGCCGTAGTCGGCCGGGATGACCCGTGTTGGCCGCTGGGTGGTCCGAAGTCGGATGCTGGCAGCAGCTGGGTGGGCTGACTGTGTGGCTATGCGGCTGGTGGTGGACTGGGTGATGTCGCGTGGATCAGGAAGGCGCCAGTGACGACCGCCTGCCTACACAGCCTTGCGTGCGCGCAGGGAGCCGGTGACGGTGCGGACAAGCGCCTCGGGCGCCTGAGGCGGCTGGCCCGGGGTGGTCATTCTCATACCCGCGACGTTTTTTGACGCCTTCGGCCCACGCTTTTCCGCTTTGGGAATGGGCTAACGATCGCCGGAGATAGCGATGACGTGGGTTTATCGGCTTCTCGGTAAGCCTGTGGATCATGCGAGCCCCCTTTCACTTGGAACTAATTATCACTGCAGTCGCGAAGCGTGACCCCATTTGTCCGTAGCGCATCCCGTCTCATTCCGCCTGACCTCCGTCGACCGAGCGCCAGGCTGTCGCGGAGGTCGGGGAACCAGGTAACAGGCACTCTAAGTTGAAGATGTGCTAACTAGAATGCGTATTTTGAGGGTCGTTACGGACGCACCCTCTTACAGTGCAGAGTCGGCTGATTTGGAGGGCGTTTTTTTGTTCTGCTCGTCGCCACTTATCCACAAATGACGTAGGTCATTTGCTTGGGCGTATGGCAGTCCCGCAGCCTTCTTCGCCAGCCTTCCAGTGGAGGCGCATGAGCCACCATAAGCTTTCCTACGCAAGATAGTCGACTCTTGCAATGCCTTACAAGTAACGCAATCTCCGTCGTACAGCTTACAGTTACAGCAACAGGCGCCTCCGTCGTACTAGAGCATGTCTTCGAACTTGTCGTTTTTTTTTTGGCATTTGGCAGCTATTTACGACTGACAAAGGAGGTAGCTCAAGGCTCATCTGTTGCCGGGTGAGCAGAAGTCTCCAGGATGTTGGCTTCAGTAAAGGCCAACCCGCCTTGGTGAAAAGGTCACTATGCTCGCCTAGGGGAGCTGCCGACATTGGTCTGTGATCCGTCTCTGTGCTCTTCGGCGAAACGACGCGCAACTGCTGAGGAGCTTCACTTTCATGCTATTTGTGGAACGCCTACAGAATATTAGACGTGTGCGCATAGCCGGGGAGAGGCGCAGGATGGAAGGCATTGGCAACAACTGGACGAAGTGTCTTGCGTTTTCTCATCACTGCTTCAGGTCTCAAAATCTCAACACAAAGAAATATAGCCGAACTATGCGGCCGTAGTGAGACGCCAGTTTACGCAGCTGGACGCCCAGCCGGACCTTTTAGGTGTGTTCAAGACTTTAAGCCATCCAATATCTGGAAACGTGCCGTGGTCGTGCCATAGTGGACTGAATCCCATGGCAGGCGTCATCTCTTGAGCGGGATGGAAAGCGCGTCGTCCTTGTTTAGGTGCCTGGACACGTCGGGGTGGCTGGAAATGACAAGTCTTGCTGCTGCCATGGGGGAAGGGGGGGGGGGGGGAGGAAGCGCCGGCCATCGACCTTGTCCGGCTCGAGCATTGTGCTCTGGGATTTCAAGCCGTGTTGTCAGCCCCGTCTAAAGAAAGACTGGCGAGAGGGCTTGGACCTGTGAGCGTGGCCTCGCATGGCATCACGGGAACAAATTCCATGTGGGAGATAAGTAGGATGGGTGAGCGGGCACAAATGTTACCGGGGGGGTAACGAAAAGAAGGATTCGGTCTGTGTTGCCTCCGCTGTCACTATCGATCACACGTACGGGACACAACGGGGTTTACGCTGTTCGGAGACCAGGTGCCAACGTGACCTCGCTGTGACCATCCGCTCTAGTTGGTCACGCGCTCGTGCAAGTGCAGCCGGTTCGCCGCTGAGCGAGAGCGGTCACTCCGACGGTTATGTCGCGGCTGTCCTGTCCCTGCGCGCCTCATCGGCGGCAATCTGTAGTTGAAGCTGTTCTAGAGTACGGGAATGACCGATTTAGAATCATTTGCCTAGCCTGTTTGATTGTCCTCGCCGCGTGTGGTCGGCACTCGGAGTAATCTTGCTCCGACATGGTCGGAAAGCGTTCTCAGCGTGCCCACGCATGCGCTGAACATGTAAGGACCACGTGACAGTCACGGGCAGTCCAAGTCGAAACCACTGCAGTCGGAGCGCCCCGAAATGCAGTTATTCAAACACCATCACATGCTGCAGTTTGTGTGGATGAGATGGCGAGGAATGACTCGGCGCTCGTAAAACAGATGCCGCGAGGAGTATTTCGGTGCTCAGTATATCCTCTCGGCAGCCCCATATGCAGCCGCGCGTAGCATGTTAAGCACATAGCATACAGTTATGTGCATGGAACATGATACCGCCCCGAAGGTTGTGTGCTTGCGTGCCTGATGATAGCGTGCCGCGCCGTGCGCTTGTGTCTGAGCTGTGTCCGTGCCAGGCCCTGTTGCTGCTCGTAAAACTGTGCGATATTACTGGAGCTAAGCTGAAGAAGCTTGCTGTGTTAGTGGCAGCAGCGTAGCGAATTCCACGGTGGTTTAAGGACAGCCATAAGATGCATGATCCCAAAGCCCTAAACATCATCAGCATCATCATCATCATAAGGGGCATGATGTGCCAGCTCGGTCAACCCACGCCTCTCAAGTAGGTGTTGAGATAATCGACGATGATGTGTATGCATGCAATCCACATGGTGGCTTTGCACTTGGCACGTTCTAGTCAATGCAGCATGCGGGGAATATACTACGAGTGCAATCATGTCACAGGCCCGCGAATACTCAAACGCGCAGGAGCAGTAATAGTCGTACATTGGCCGGTGCGGAGTCCGGTGGACAAACTCGACAGTGCTGCACGGCGCTACATCGGAGGGCCAGCGGGTCGAGGCCAAGCATATTCAACAGCTCCACGCCCGCGGCAGCATACCCACGCGCTTGCAAGCCCTCCCCCGTGCGTGGTTGTGGAAGTAGCCGGTGGTACATCTGGTGTCGTGTTGGTGCCTCTAAATTGCCCCCCCCCCCCCCCTGGATTTTGTAACGGGTGCTCCCCGGCGGGTCGGTCGTATTGATCGTTAGAACCGCACAAACAATCGGATTTTCTGGGAGCTGTGTGACAGTCAGCCTCCCGAGTTGCTCAGTAATGTCGGGCACGTGTTCGTATCGTCTGTTGCTTTTCATCTCTTATGAACGGAATCTGTGGTCGAAGTTCGGTTAGCCAATGCCGCGTTGGGGCCGCTATTGACTGCGCATCGCTACTCAGAGCCGTGACCTTTCTCCGAGGCGCTCTGTCGTCTCGGCCGCCTGTCTGGAACGCGCCGGCTGCCTCATTTACGCTCGCCGCTCCCATCCTTACAGAGAACAAGTTCGCGGTAGGCTCGGGTGCGCGCCTCATCTCGGTGTGCTACTTCGAGCAAGAGAACGACTGGTGGGTAAGCAAGCACATCAAGAAGCCGATCCGCTCGACCATCACCAGCCTGGACTGGCACCCCAACAACGTGCTGCTGGCGGCCGGCCAGCACCGACTTCAAGGTGAGCACCGGCCGGCGGCGCGGGAGGGCACCGTGCCTCCGTGGCGCCCGCCTCGCCGTCACGTCGGACCCTGTGATGAACTGAATCCCTCCGGCGGCACCAGGCGCTGATCCCCTGCCGCACGAGAACGCGGCGGCGCTGAGCGCGCGCCGCCGGCCGCCGCCTGCTGACTCGCGCCCTGTCGCCTCTCCCCTGCGGCATCCGGACGATGCGTACCGCTGCTCATTAAAAGCAACCGTTCTGTGACGAGACGCCGGGAATGGTGTGTAAGATGTTGCCTTCGTGTTCAAGAGCGAATAAGCGAAGAAAATCGACAGCCAGAACTTTGGATATGAGGACCCAAATGTTATCAACAAAATGAAAAACAACTGGTACTTCTACACACGCAACACACACTCGCCCATGAACCGCCCGACACCCAACACGGACTTACCTTCCACCACTAACAGGGGGATTATGCAACACTTCAAACTTCAATGAATGATGGCCAGTCAGCATCCGGTTTGCTGATTGCTGCACCCCAGAGTTTTCTTTTCTTTTCTGTACGTTCAGGCAAAACGTCTGTAAACTACAGGAATACCCGCCTTTCTCTTCACGCCATGAGTATGTCACGCTTGGAGACGGATCGTGCTCAGATTTGTCTCGTTGAAGTGTTCTGAAAGAGTTGGTTTCGTTTCACGAGCGAGATTCATGTGTTACGTGCGGTGTGTAAATTGCTGTTCTTAATTTGGGGAAATGCAGCCAGACGTGACGCAACCATTTGTGAACGCACGAAACTCTGAAAGACGACCAACGCACGTGCATCTTCCGCGAAGAGGCGATGTCATTCGGCGCCTCCCTGTGGCGTCTCTGAAGTCGCACCTGCTCTAAACTAGACAAAAGCGTGCGCTCGTCGCCTGCTGTTTTTGGAAGGCAGGATGGGAAACTTGGCAGATCCGCGCAATTCAAATTAGTCTGAAATATGCGACGCATGGTTTTCTCGCAGCACTTCGTTTCCACGACAGCATCACGCAGCCAAGCTGAATGTAGAACGCAGATGTACGTATCGTGCGTCCTAGGTAGTTCTGGCAGTACAGCCTCATTGTCTGCTCTTTTTCGCTCGGCTATTGCATCAGCCTGCAGCACCATTGGTAGCAGGGCAGGGCATTACTGGTAGCTGGATCGCGTTTGACGCCATAGCAGTGGTCGGAGGGAGATTGTCGGTGCGCTTCCTTTCCTCAGTTGTTGAAGCAGAAACTAACCTTCGGTATTTCACGTCGAAATCAAGTAAAAGTTCTAGTCATTTCTGACAGTGCGAGTGATCAGATAATGTGCTGCGTGCTGCTGCAGTCAGCGCTAATCGTCAGTGCTTGTAAAATGTCGGATGCCTCCCCGCCCCTCCCCTCCCCTCCCCTCCCCCGCCCCTCCCCTCCCCTCCCCTCCCCTCCCCTCCCCTCCCCTCCCTCCCTCCCTCCCTCCCTCCCTCCCTTCCCTTCCCTCCATGCCCGCCGCGTCAGTTTTCGTCATCAGCGCCGTTCGGGCAGCTCGTTTATGTAATGGCGCACCCTGCTCGTAGGCGCTGTTGCTTCTATTGAGGTCGCAAGACGGTCATGTCGTCGCATCGCAAATGATAGCGATCGCATCTGTGTGTGATGGACATCGACGGCGCCTGACGCCTGGCGTGCGCCGCCAGGTGCGCGTGTTCTCCGCCTACATCAAGGACATCGAAGGCAAGCCGAGCGCCACCTGCTGGGGCGCTAAGATGCCGCTCGGCCAGCTGCTGGCCGAAGTGAGCGCCTCGTCGGCCGGCGGCGGCGGCTGGGTGCACGACGTCCAGTTCTCCGCCGACGGCCAGCTACTGGCCTGGTGCGGCCACGACGCCTCCGTCAGCGTGATGGACGGCGCCGACGCCAACCGGTGGGTGGCCTGCGGTCCGGCGCGCCGGGGCGGGACGACCGGCCCGGCGGAGGGGCCGGGCGTCAGGACAGTGAGCTGCAGAGAGCTGGGGCGGCGGGCCCGGGATGCGAGCTGCTGCCTGCTGCTGAGCTGTGCTGAGCTGAGCCGAGTTGAGCTAGCATGGCATTAGTGAATACGATCGGAGCGACTCGGGGCTAATCGAGCACACACGAGCACAGTGCGTAGCTCGTTTCACGGAATCTGGTAACGATGTTCCAGTAACGATGCGGTGGCGCTTTAGCGCGTAAGCCGCCATGCCAGGAGACCACTGCTCGGACGGAAATCAAACATTACCTGCCGCCGCTTCCCGGGAGCAGAGCCAGCATATCGCCAGGGGAGGGGCATTTTGCCCCCCCCCCCCGCCTTGAGTGAGGGCCCCTCCAAAAAATCCGGGCATTCCGGCTATTTATTTTAAGAATTTTTTGCGCATTATTTTATACGGAAACCCATCTTACTGCGCGCAGCTTGAGAAAACGAGGTGTGCTAAGGATGCACGTGCTTGATGGTTATTCATTCTCCCAAAGCATGGTGAATCTTATCATTTTGAGGTCAATTTTTTTCAGAAAAAGTTGGCAAACTTAACTAAAGCTGGCTGCTAAATGTCATTAAAATCAGGCGCAACCTCGATTCCCAGGTTGTTTACAGCAAGCCGGCTGGTCGATGTGGTCAGCTGATGGATGATAACTAATGCAGAGTTTTTTTCTTTGTTTTGGAGGAGTACAAAATATGCTAGCATTTAAATGTGTTACGCACGTGATGCACAATGAAATGGGCAACGGAAGTGATGCATAGGACGTCGGTGGCACGTAAAATTACGTTCGACAATGGCGCGTAAAAATTCACCGGGCATATCCATCTGCTTCTCTAAGGCTGAGGTACCAAGGCCAATACGGACCGAATCTGAGCAATCATGGGTGCCGTGGCAAGCCAATGAAGAAGCGTCCGTCAACCAGTGTAGGGTCCTCAGAGCAAGCGAGAAGAAGCCAAGACCAGCGTGGTGGGCCATGAAGGATCGGGAGTGCCCGGACAGGCTGACATATAGGTACCCGGCCACAGCACAGGGCCCTCCAAGCAAAGGGGAATTACCCTAGTCCAGTGCGCGTGAATAATGCCCCTTTTACGATGAAGAGTGCACGGGCAGGTTAGCCGAAAGGACCCCGGTGTAGGGTCCTCCGCAGCGTAGGGTCCTGCGCAAGCGGGATCATAGGGAAAGAGGCCCCAGATCAATGTAGAGGGTCTCTGAGCATCGAGTGGCTCGGTTCCGTACCTCATATGAGCGCCAGCGACAGGACAATGACCTCCGAGCAAGTGAAAGGAACCCGAGACCAATATGAACGGCCTTTGAGCACCTGAGTGTACCCGTTCATATTGGGTCCTAGCGACAGCTTAAGAGCCTTTCGGGCGAATGGGGGGGGGGGGGGGGGAATCCGTGGGAGAACCCTGATCGATCAAGAGTGCACAGGCATGTCAGCACATAGTGCCACAACAGCAGCGTATGGCCCTACGAGGAAATGCAAAACATGAAGAGTAACGTGGAAGGCTCCTCAGCGATCGGATCGGCCGGCAAGTGGGCACGTAGGGCCCTGGTAACAGCGTAGGGCCTCCGGACAGGGACTTCATCTGCTCACGGGTTCTTCAATTTCGCCTGCGACTGTTCTTGGTCGTCTAGAGATCCAAAAACGTCCAATCTGGTTGTGTTTTGTGCCAGAAAACTGCGTTCATTCGGCCGTTCATGATCCCTTGTGAGCGTATCTGTCCTCTCGGGACGCAAAAGGATCCGTCACTGGCCCGAGCAGCTTAACAGATGGGGCCCAGACAAGAACAAAGGGCTATCCATTGAAATAAGTACCCGAGACACAATATGGAAGGCACAAGACTGATAGAGTGCGCCCGAGCAGGTTAACAGATGAGGGCTCCGACAAGAGCGTAGTGCCCTCCACTCAAGTAATAGATCCCCGCGACACAGTGTAAAGGGCCCCAAACGATCGAGTGTTCCTGAGCGGGTTAACAGATAGGGCCCCTGACAAGAGCGCAGGGTCCTCCATTCAAAAAGGAAGTACCAAAGACCCAATTTGGAGGGCCCCGAATGGCCCAAGGTGCCCGGGCAGGTCAACAGATGGTGCGCTTTTGGGGAACGCGAATGCGCAATATCACTTCAACACTTCACAAAGCTTTTTGTGCACGTGCGTGTAGCGAATAACGGGATAGCATCCGGTCTCTGGCACTGAGCCTGGCACGCCAGGTCAAAGGTCACGCCACTCGCTGAGACTCTGACTCGCACGCTGGGGCGTGGTTAACGATCGCCATGTCACGTCAGTATGCATCTATGCATCCCGCGACAGCCTTCTCCAGCATGAAGCCTCGCATGCTGACTCTCTGGCTCCTAACGTGGGGTAACCAGGGTCGGGCTTGCTTTGTCTCGTCGTGGCAGTGACTGTCCTCGTTGAATGGTCCTCGCTCCGTCGCGTGCTTTCAGGGAATCCCGCCGCCACGATCACACAGGCCTGCTGCCAGGGACCGATTGGACGGTCTCAGCTGCCATCTGCTTATCAGTAACACCGCAGTGGTATTCATTGGCGTGCGTCTACGTCTTAAGTCGTCAATGACATCATCAGCGGCATTCCGTGACGTGTGTCTGTGCCTGAAGTCATCAGTGGCACCGTCAGCGGCGCCTGCTGTACCCGGCGTCAGTGGTGTGGTGACCGTGCCTGCCGTACCCGGTGTCAGTTGTGTGGTGACCGTGCCTGCCGTACCCGGCGTCAGTGGTGTGGTGACCGTGCCTGCCGTACCCGGTGTCAGTGGTGTGGTGGCTGCGCCTGCCGTTTTTTGTTTTTGTTTTTGGTGAGCTGTGGTGACCGCCGGCTGGCGTTCGCGAGTGCCCCCCCTCCCCCCCCCCCCCCCCCCCAGTGAGCTGCGGTGACGTTAGTCGTGCGTCTCTGGCCGGCGGCAGGGTGATGACGCTGCGGACGGACCAGCTGCCGTACCGCAGTCTGAGCTGGGTCGGCCCCGCCGCCCTGGTGGCCGCCGGCTACAGCTGCTGCCCCATGCTGTATGTCATCGACGGCGGCGCCATCCGGCTGGCCGCCAAGCTGGACCAGTCCCAGAAGAAGGAGGGCGGTGGCGTCAGGTACGAACGCGTGTGACGTCATGGGACCGGCGGTGACGTCACGGCGGGTGGTGGTGCCGGGGCCGGGCGGCAGCGTCAGATGGTGATGACGTAATATGTCGTCGGGGGTCGGGCTGGGGCTGGTCGGGCGGCTGACAATGTCCGGCCGGAGACGGTCGGGTGCAGTGGCGAAGCCATAGCCAAAGGCAGTGACGTGCGGCGATGTTTTTGGACAGCAGAGGCGGACAGTTGTGAGCGGCTGTCACGGGTTGCCGGAAGGTCAGGTGCAGCACACACGTCAGTGTCGGAGGCACCAGGTGTGCGGTGTGGCTGGTCGGAACAAGTAGTTATTTGTTTTGGATTTCAAGACGTATGCAGCTCATACCTTAGGCAGATGACACGGAATACTTTGAAATGATTTCCTGTGTTGTTTAGTGGATGCACGTCATCATTTAATCCCAAAAGTATGCAGTGTAAATGTAAATAGAGATGAATTATCGATTTGGGATACGTATCTCTCGAATCTTGATAGGATCGCGTTTGTTTAGTTAGCTTATGCCGTAAAGCCGAATACGAAAATTTCAGCTCGGTCTGACTAATATGTTAGTCATTTTGCTGAACTGTTGCTGTTCGGCTCGGAAGCGGCTCGGGGATCATAACCCCGGAATTCCGGGTGCGTCATATGACCAAAGTATCGTCTAACGCTGTGAAACCTTAAAGGGGGGGGGGGGGGGTGTCCGGCCTTTAAGGCCCATTTCAAAAACGTATTCTTGTGAAACCTCATGACCAGTTAGTCAAATAATAGCTCTTGGTAAGGTCACTGCAGCACCGTTAAGAAATGATTAGGATATCGATTTGTATTTTTGGGGGGTCCAAAGTACGCTGTCAACGCCTTGTAACAGTATTATATCTTTTTCCTGGAGTTGTCGCGATCGTGACGACCGCCGTGGCACCTCTACTGGTGTGAATGAAATGCCGTTTGTGATTGACCCAGCGGGCGGCAGGGGCCTGTTACGGAGAAGTACATTGGTTATGGTTTGGACCAGTACGTCACCATGGGTCACGTGATACTCTTATGCCCAAAGCCAAAGTGTGCTTCCAAAAGAGTCGCTTAAGTAGCCGCTGTGCGGGATAAATCAGAGCCGCAGTATAGCGTTTCGTTGAATTCGCGGGACAATAACATCATATCCGCATATATTTTTGTTTAAACAGAATGTTTCATGCTTTCATAGCACTCCCCACACACACATTTTGACAAATAAGTGCGTTGCAAACATAACAGAACACACATGTTATAAAGAGCAAGGCAAGTGAAATGCATTGCTTGCATAGTGATGAGCAGTGAGTCAAATGAGGTTTCCCCGCAGGAACGGCTACTTCAGATTGAAACTCGGAGCTATTCAGAAGGATATAGACGAAACGGGTATTACTGATCAAATGGTACGCGCCTGATCTAGCAGTGAATGAAAAGCACACAAAAAAATGTGACATGCTCCCTTTAACAAAATATAGCGTCGTGGTATCGTGTTGGAACAGCGTAAGTAAGTGTATCAGCGATAAGCAAGCGTATTATAAATTATTCCTATTGGTTCATAGATACATGTTCGTCCGCATTTTGCAACCCGTGTTCTTTTGATTTTACGGTTTCCATGCCATGTACACAACTGGTCATCAGCCGACAAAAACATCAGTAATGCGGCACAAATGAAACACCGCTTTGGTGCGGCCGTCACGCCGCCTGAGGCCTGTTGTCAATCGCGCCGCCTGAAGCCTGTTGTCCATCACGCCACCTGAAGCCTGTTGTCCATCACGCCGCCTGAAGCCTGTTGTCCATCACGCCGCCTGAAGCCTGTTGTCCATCACGCCGCCTGAAGCCTCTTGTCCATCACACCGCCTGAAGCCCGTTGGCCATCACGCCGCCTGAAGCCCGTTGTCCATCGCGCCTCCTGAAGCCTGTTGTCTATCACGCCGCCTGAAGCCTGCTGCTAGCAGCGATCAGCATCCGGGGACGGTCCGACTCAAGCGGCCGCCGCGCTGGCTCGGTCGGCACGCGCGGCAGCTGCAGTCCGGTGCCGGCCGCGGCCCGGGTGGAGCGCTGCGATACAAGAGAGCTCATCAGAGCGTTCCAGGAGTGGTGGTACACGACGGCTATCACCTCACTCTCACGGGTATGGAGTGTCTCGGCGGCGACGCCTCAGGAGATCGGTCCAAATCCTTGTTGCTTAGGGCGCAGCGAGCAATAAGCTGCGAGGCATTCCATTAACTGTGGTCATGCTGTTGTCAGCTAAGCTGTATTACGGCCGGGATGATTGGGAACGGACTTGTGGACCACTAGCGCAGAATGAGCGGGCCGCTAGGGCAGAGTGAGCGGGCCGCTTGGGCAGGTTGAGCGGGCCGCTAGGGCAGAGTGAGCGGAGCGCTGCGGCAGAATGGGCGGGCCGCGGGGCACAACGTGAGTCAAAGTGAGTCACCCGTGCCAGAAATCGTACTGGAATATATTCCTTGCACTTATATAAATCAAATCGCAGCGTTATAAATTACCATTTTACATGCATTTCCAAGGAGATGCAAACATTGGACGACACCCGTGTCACATTCTTCTCCAGAATGTGTGGGGCTTATCTCATCAGCTGTCCTGTAATCGAGCCGAAGCTGTCAGGAATCAGTTTGCAATATAAAGTGAACCATTTTTTGTTAAAATCCAGCAGGTGATGTAAAATCTGGCAGGTGAGGTAAATAGTCGTTACATCGGTCGATTTTGTGCGGAATTCACCGAAAGGTAAATATGCTAAGGTAGCGTGTAGACACCGAGTGGGTGAAATTGTTGAAAATTTATCAGGGGCATGCTCGTTTGCATGCATTTGCATGCTCGCGTACATTTATCAGTGGCATGCATGCGCGAGCGAAGCAGCAGCGGTGGGAATTTCCAAAAGGTTGTGTACCACCGTGGTATGATTTAGGTGGCTGTGGCACCTGTCATACGTATGTCGGAGTGTAGCGAGACATTGATCCCAACATGTAACGTTACTGGTACGTTTAAGGTGAAGGTAGCAAAGTTGCAAGCACTTATCCCAAGAATATCAGGTGCGCTCCTGTTAACGCACTTCATACATCTGGCCATGTTGTACCAAGTTCTGCGTCACATTGGAGACACTATGGGAACGCTGTCGAGGACTAGTTTTTCTAGTCTTTCGTGCTGCACAGGGCCTTGCCACGCCGCACACTGTGCTGCGGTGACGGCGGGGCCGTGCGAAGTGCGTCACGAACAGTGCAGGTGAACGGGACCTGTGAGAAGCGTCGTAGCGTGCTCGAGCGTTGCAGAGCGTGTTGTTCGTGCACGCAGCGAGATCATTACGCTCGGCGCGGTGATGGCATGCGGTTGAGCGCGTCACCCCTCACGCGCTGTAGCTGCGCTCCCAGGATCTCGGTCGATGGTGCATCCAATCGGAAACGTCGCGCAGCGTCGGCATTGGGTCGGTTCTGAGAACAGTTCACTCGCTAGCAGCCGCGCTTTTTCCCTTCGGCAGGCCGCCGACGCGCGGCAGCGTCGCAGCCAAGTGACGCGCGCGGCAGCTGGGGTGCTTCACTGACCTGTCGCTAGGGCTAGTGCTCACCGGTCGAGTGGCGCGCGGAGCGTGCGCGGTCAGGCGCTCGCTCCCACCCTCAGCAGGCCGTCAGTGGCCCACTCGGCGGCCGCCGACGGCCGTCAGTGACCCACTCAGCGGCCGCCGACGGCCGTCACTTGCCACGACGTCGGTGGCGGTGTGGCTAACCGGAATATTAAAATGTGTTTTCTTCTGACCGGTGGTGCCTACCCGGGTTGGAGAACATTAGCAGCAGCCGGATGTGACCAGATCTCACTCACCTACTGCCCAGGTCAAAGTCCTTGTGCTTTGAGGGCCATCCTCGAAGCCTTAGCCCAGTGACACTCCATTTAAAAAGTTAATAATGCAGCCCGCTGCAATTTTGAAAAAAGCGGGCAATTAATTAAGATAGTTTCGTAGATCGTATCGTCCTAATCAGAATAAACACTTCGATGCCGTTTGATCTGACGTCACAGCTGGGAGCAAGATCGCCACATTGACCGCATGGGTGGCGACTGACGCGCCTGGCGCGGCTTGAGGCTCCTTTGGTCCTGGCAGTGAGTTGAACTTGGGCCGTGCTCACCGCTTACCTCCGTCCCGGCGGCCTGGAATCTGTGTTCGCTCTGCGATCTTCGCTGGCTTTTTTAAAACCGTGGCGGGTGTCTCAGTAGTTGTTTTCTTTTTCAAATGCAATGCGGCGGAGCCAGAGTTCGAAGGGCGTCTCCTAACGACATGAAAAGGGTCATGATAGCTGCCCTGGCGCGAGATCCGTCCTCCCCGCTGACCCGATTCCCCCCCCCCCCCCCCCCCACGACGCAGCGCCATGCGGAAGTTCCAGTCGCTGGACAAGCAGTCCCGCTCGGAGGCTGACGACACGGCTCTGGCAACGCTGCACCAAAACTCCATCTGCACCACGCGTATCGTGGAGGGCGACCGGACCGCCGCCCGTCGCGTCAGCACCAGCGGCGCCGACGGCCTGCTCGTCATCTGGGATGTCCAGGTCAGTGGGTCGGAGGCGGCGCCAACAGGTCCGAATCAGCTGTGTAGGGGAGGCACCAGCAGGTCTGGATCGGAGGCTGTGCAGGGGGGGGGGGGGCGCCAGCGGGGCCGTGGCAGGGGCGGAGCTAGCGGGTCCGGGCCAGAGGCTGTGTGTGGGGGAGGAGGGGGGGGGGGGGGGGGGGCAGCGAGTCCGGGTCAGGGGTGTGTAGGGGGAGGGGGTGCCCGCAGGTCCGGGTCATGGGTCACGGCGACAGGTCCGCGTCAACAAAGCCGTGCAGGGACGGCGCCAGGGGGTTGGGGTTGGGGAGGCGGGCAGGAACGACGTCGCACCATCCTTAGAAACTGGGGATGTGTCTGGAGCCTAGCCTGTCCTCACACATGTTTTTCTTCCGAGAGTTCAGTCCTGATTGGCGGTTGTTAAGGCATTGCAGTGCAAAGAAGCGTTTGACAACTTGTTTAGCAAGTATCGTGCCACACTGCGACTTGATGATTACTCGGATTTGAAAGCAGCTATGGAGTGCGGGGAGAGCGAGGACGAATATAATGTGGCGGGGGAAAGATTTGCCAGCACCCACCAATGATCGCTTAAAAGTGTTGATGCCTTGAATTTTTTAGCTTTACATTTTCGTAGTAAGTTATATCCTCATATTCGTAGCAAGTCTCTGGTGTGAGCGTTGTCCAGACGTATTGAGTGAGGGAGCGAAGCGAGTTAACGAACACATCGCTACATTAGATCAAATCCGAGTAAGTCTTGTTTGCTTGCCGACGTAGAATCGGTAGGTTTCTCACGATTACGAAGACGTACTGAATCGAGCGAGTCGCAGGAAAGTTGCGGATGAATGCCGAAGTCAGTGGACTCAATTTTCAGCGCTGCGAGTGCTCGCCGAACTTAAAGACTGCATGATCCTTCAACAACTGTGTTGGGCTATTGCTCGGCACGGGCATGGTCGAGCTGAGTGAAATAAGTGCGGAGGAACACCGCATTTGAAGCACTGCAATCAAGTAATCAAAACAGGCATTGTGCCTGGTCTGTGCTTTGCACACTTTTATTATTTTGAAATAGCACGGAGATCGAGCCCAATGTCGTTTTTGTAGTCAAATATGTGCGAAGTTGTTGCGCACCTCTTGAACATGCTATGCCTCTCAATGCTAGCAGTTGACTCTTTACATTGTACCGCAAGTTTTGGCCTTCGCATGTCTGTAACGAGGGGGGGGGGGGGGGTCCGTGACTATGGTGCTCTCATCTTGGCTGTCTTTATTCGGAGCGTTTGGATCAAATACAAACCCGAAAGTCGGAATGCTTTAGCTCTTTGGGATTTTCTGTTGTGGCAAGTTCCCGGGGATATCATAATTTTCTATGTTTGTTGGGAACAGGCAGGGAGATCAAATTTGCCGTTTTCGTCTGCCCAGTACCTTTAATACACATGCAACAGCTTCTTGTGCCAGACTGCCAACAATGGCCTCGGACCAACGCCGTTTTTTTCCGGGACATGTGATCCACAGATACAGCTCAATGAATTTAACCTCAAAGAAAGCGAGTAAGACGACTCAGATGATCGCAGGCGAAGCCTGGATGCCCCTGTTTCTGCTCAGAGGCTTTCTGCGAAATGTTTGCGTTTCATAATGTTTGCGTTTTTTCACGCGCGACATCCAATCGCAACGCTCATTACAGGTTGGGTGTAATGTACGGGCACCCAGGAAGTTATACAGGTCTGGTGTAATGTATGAGTCAATCAGGGAATTGTAGTTGGGGCAATCTAGCACCACTGAGTGGTAGTGTGCGCGCTCGTCTGTGTGAAATGTAAGTCAGTGACCGAATCAGGGCTAATCTGACGACCATTACCTTGTGTGTTTTGCTGTAATCGCCACCGCCAGCCAATTAGATGCAAGGTCATAGTATCTGTACCCGATAGATACAATTTACAGCGATGGGTCGCCGGGCGTGGCAGTTGCATGCCGCCGGCGACTCTGAACTATAGCTCATACGTGTGTTTCTCCGCGTCAGATCTACCTTTCAATCCTCGACTAATCCGTCCCGTTTACATGGAATGCTCCTACAGCATATGCACAGACTGGGTGTCTCCATGCATGGGATGCACGGAGATGCATGCATGCGTCCCCCGGGATGCTCCTGCCGTGTCCGGGACGTCTTTTTTGCTATGCTGGCGGCGCAAAGAAACATCGCTTTCAGCACCTGGTATCAGGTGCTCATGCCGTGCCACTGGAAGCCTAGCTCGTTGCCACATGGAGGCGGTGTTCGGGACATTTGCACGAGGTGGTTGCGGTTATGAGATCAGCGTCACGTGTCAGGCATTTTGTTTTATGTGTATTGTAATGCATTATTTATATTTATTGCAGCCTCTGCAGTCGTCCATGGCCGGACTGAAGATCAAGTAAGATGAAACAGTGGATGCGGGACCAGGCGTATTCGTGAAGGGGCTCGCGAGGCCGAACGGCCCAAGCACAGAACCATTACTCCACATCATGGCCGCCACACTGCGATAGGCGCCGTCTACGTTCTACACGACCATCTCCGCTTAATTTTTGCATATGTATTCAAAGACAACGCAAACCGACTGGCGAACCACGCTGTCGGTTGGATACCGGTGCTTTTGGTCCGATGGCTATCTCTGGGCACCGGGCCGTTCGCTCGGGCGTTCAGAATTTCCCCCCAGTGCCGCGAGATTGCTGATGGCCAAGGCTGCCTAACGGTGCATTCCCAGACGGATGTGCTTGTGGTGCAAAACTAAAAATATATGTCAATTTGCCTCGGCATTATTATCCTCAGTCCGGCCGAGGTGACAACTGCTGTCAACAGAAAACTATGTGAACTGGAACTTCGATTCGGACGCGTGATGTCGGACCACGCACGGAGCAAAATAACTAAGTGTCGGCATTATCTGGATTTACCGTGGAAATATCTAGGTTGCTGCATGCTATGGCCGAGGCGTTTCAACATGTTTAACCTGCACGCCTCCGAAGATGGACTGAAGAGTGTCTGCGCTGAGCAAGGCAACAGGGCTGCGAAAACTCCGCCTGTTCGCACGGGTTTACGACCCGATGGCGAGAGGCGCAGTTCGGAAACCACTGAAGAGTGTCTGCGCTGAGCAAGGCAACAGGGCTGCGAGAACTCCGCCTGTTCGCACGGGTTTACGACCTGATGGCGAGAGGCGCAGTTTGGAAGCCTGGCAAGTGGCCAAGGACCAAAGCGCTGGCACAATGGACCCTCTGCGACGAGCCCTCGACCACGTCCATTGACGCCTTGGCAATCCACGGCTTTCAGTGAGCAAGCCGGCTGATGGTTCGCCGCCGGTGGGGAAGGGGGAGGGCGTAGCAGGTGTGTGGTATTCCCCGGCGTGGAGAATGCCTGTTACACAACCACGGCTTGCCGGTGGAAGGTAATGAGATTGTTCCGGGCCCCGGGGTGTTTCACTCGTGGCGACATTCGCATGCGCGTTTACCACGCCCCGGGCGATCATGTTACTCGGGAGCGCACACAGAGGTGACATTGCTCGGGGGCGCAGGCAGGGTGGGCGCCACCATACTGTTCAGCGTGTCGAGCGTCGGCGTCCATCACCATCCATCACCATCATCGCGGCTCAAAAGCGACTGGAAATCTTGGCATTTTATTGTTAATTCTGCGCGCGGCAAAATCGTCACGAGAAAGTGTCCGACGGCAGAACCGCCCTCTGCATAACGCACGGACAGCTTCTCAACTTTGTACACTTGTCATCTGAGCTCGGGCATCGTCCCCAGGTTAGACCAGTGGGTGGGACCCCAGACCCCCCCCCCCCCCCCCCCGACACCAGGCTGCTCAGCTCAGTCGGTACGCCACGCTGGCGCGGAGCTTGGCACGCGGAATGGGCGGGAGCCGGCCCGGCGCCCCGCAACTCGCCGTGCCGCCGGTGCCGGCGGGGGACCGCTGTCCCGTGGTGACCGCCGGCGGCCGGCAGTGGTGACGTCACCACGTCTGCCCGTCAGGAGAGCCTGCTGGCGACCGCTGAGCCGTCCCAGCGGACGGGCGCCGCCTCGTCACACGCTGAGCGGCGGCGTGCCGCGGGCAGGAGCGCCCCCTCGGACGTGGGGAGGAGGCCTGGCGTGGCGCTCGGGCGGCGTGCGGCGGCGCACCTCAGGCCGCGTACTGTTTGACCATGGCGCGCAGGAAGCGGGCCTTGCGCACGCCGGCCGCCTCGCGCTGGATCTCTTCGTTGTTGTTGGAGTTGAGCTCCAGCTGTCCGATCAGCCGGATCACCTGGAACGGTCGATCAGACGGTATGCAGGTGTGGGAAACACTGATGCGCGATCGACGGGCACCGAGAAGCTGATATGTAATGAACGTCGCCGAGAAGGTGCGTTGAGACACCCTTCTCGGTGACGTTCATCTCTCACAGGAGGATAGTGCTGACGGCGGTGCAGTCACGATCATCCAAAGCGATGCAACGTGGTTATCGTAAAACTAGCGCCTACACACGGAACATGTCACGTCTTTAGTGACAAAAAGGCCGCAGTATTGCTGATGATGCGCAGACCGTCGTGGGTCGTGTTTTACTACTTTACTACTACAACTGCAAATTATCGGCACTAAACACGAGCGCCCGCGGTTAGGCGTCATATCAGCCTCACGCTGCTAATGCGCTGAGCTCACCTGCTGCCGCTTGTCGCGTTCTGAGCGCTTGTGGTGCAGGTGCGTGAGGTACTCGAGCAGCGTCATGTCCCAGATGCAGTCGTAGTATGCGTCCATGGCGTCGGCGCAGTTCCGTTCCGCCACGTACTGGAACGCGCTGGCGTAGTCCACCTCGTCCAGGAACTGGCACAACACGGCCGCCTGCGCGGCAGGCGCGGAGGTCACGGCCATGTCATCGTCGTCACCATTAGAAAGCTGCACGAGCGCCACTGTCTCTAGCAGTTGCTGAAGACGCTCACACAGGATCAGGGTGCCGGGAGGGCTGAAAACACTGCAACAGCACTGCTGCCCGCCCGGCACAGCGGACTGGGACGCGGCGCACGATTCCGAGTGAAGCACAGGACTGTCGGCCAGTGGATGTCTCAGAATGGCGGCAGCCATTCGGAGAAGCGGGTGCGCGCGCGTGATGTACAGACAATGATAAACTAAACCGCGAAGCTGGCATTGTTTTGAAGCTGCCAACTAGTGAACGAGGGTTTAGGAGGTGAGTCTCACCACAATCAGTGTGTGCCAGTGTAACGTGCAGCGGCACCCAATCTCTGCCCACTTGCAACAGCGCCGAGCACAGAAACCCTGCGAGCTTCTCCCTGTGTGCAACACGAGGACCAGCTCTTGATCCCAGCCGCGCTGTAGCGGAGTCGTCTGGAGTGAACAGCTCGAGTCTCGCCTGTGTCTGGAAGCTGCAGCGTGTACCGCGAGTCTCACCTGCGTGTAGCAGTGCAGCGTGGAACAGCACTTGATCATGCACCGCAACACGGCCTGCCAGTCTCACCTGCGTGTAGCAGTGTAGCGTGGAGCAGCACTTGATCATGCGCCGCAGCACGACCCGCGAGTCTCACCTGCGTGTAGCAGTGCAGCGTGGAGCAGCACTTGATCATGCGCCGCAGCACGACCCGCGAGTCTCGCCTGCGTGTAGCAGTGCAGCGTGGAGCAGCACTTGATCATGCGCCGCAGCATGACCCGCGAGTCTCACCTGCGTGTAGCAGTGCAGCGTGGAGCAGCACTTGATCATGCGCCGCAGCACGACCCGCGAGTCTCACCTGCGTGTAGCAGTGCAGCGTAGAGCAGCACTTGATCATGCGCCGCAGCACGGCCTCACTCAGCACGGTGCGGGGCACGGGCCGCGTGAAATACTCGGAGCTCACCAGGCACGCCTCCAGGTAATACCGCAGCGATGAGGTGGGCTCGTTACCCGCTGCCGACAGGGCCCGGTTCCACCGGTCATTCAAAGGCGCCATCGTGTCACCGCCAACGATATGTCTTTGGGTGAGCTTTTGGTATCGTCAATAATGCATCCATTCAGACAGATGTTGGTAAAACACGGCGTTTTGATTAGTCGGAATCTTTAAAAGCACACTCGGGGTAAAATATTTGCCCCCGCCAAACGTGCACACCACAAGACAATTGTACATAATCAAACACGTGCTTTCAAAACGCCGTCAAACTAGGTTGCAACCTATGACAAATTGGACACCCAAAAACCAGATGCTCCTAACGTGCTACGCTCGAACTGCGTGATCATGACGTGAACATAACGCTGGGCGGCAAAGCCGTGGAGCATCTGGATCTTTTGAGTCACGCTTTTACCCTTCGAAAAACATCGGCCTCGACACGGCGCCCTTGTGTGCGTGCGTGGGTGCATGTGCATGCGTGCGCGCGTGTGTGCATGCGTACATGCATGCGTGTGCGCTCACCGTATCGGAGGTCGGCCATGGCCTGCAGCCAGGGTATATGGCAGGGGTAGAGCCTGATCCCCTGGGTCAGCAGCGTCTGCAGACACTCGGACACATTCTTGATGGAGAACAGGTTCGGGCTGGAGAAACATCAGGCGCGCGTCAGTCACGGATCGGGGCGTGACGTTGTATCGGCGTACACCACATTCCGGTACTGCCAGCATTGGCGCGCTGCACGGAGGTGGCCCGCACCGACTCCCAGCTGGAGGTGTTTGCTAACCGAGTCTCCCCTGACAGGTGGGGGGTGCAGTTCTGCCCAGGCGTATTCCTTCCATCCATACCCCAATTTAACCCCGTTGAACCCTCGGTCGATGCTGGGCTTCCAAAGTTCCACGTTACTTTTCGCTTCGTGTTTATTTCTATAGCTCGACTGTTACAATTTCAATGGGCAGGTTATTACAGCCACAATAATGTAAGACACAATAATGCACGGGGACCAGGTTCCCGGACAAAAAATGCCGGGAAAAAATGGATGCCCAGAAAACTAACAAAAAAGTGCCGAACAAAAAAAAAGTGGAAAAAAAATGGTCGAAAGATCCATAGGGATACAGGCCGACAGGGCTTTAAGTCCAGTCCAAACAATGTCGAGGCATAAAAAGTCAAGAGGGATACAAGTCGCCAGGAATAAATTTGAATTGTAAAACGGCACTAGGTATAAATTGCGACATGGATAAAAGTCGATAACAAACAAACGCACAATACGCGTATATTTGGGTAAAAATAAATAATCAGGAAGGCGAGAGGATTTCAGACTGACGAATCCGAATGATTTGGCTCGTGGCATGAGGGGGGATGGTACCGATTTGGCTCGTGGCATGAGGGGGGTGGTGCCAATCGCACTCTGAAGGGTCCATGTACTGCGTGGGTCTCGCCGCCTCGTATCCCTGGGTCCTCTAATTTGGGCCCGGCTGTGCTCGTCCAGCAAACGGCCTTGTCAGGAAGCCAGCCTTCCAGCCTTCACACCGACCAGTGCAACCCACCTCAGGGTTATCATATGGTCGGTCTGTTACGGGAACCTTGCAAGCAACTCTCAACATGCCTGCGAAAATCCCCTCTCAGCCATTTTGTGGGACGGTCGCAATCAACACAGGCGCCCACGGAAGAAGGCAGCGCGCGGCGGTGGCGACCACCGCGAATCCCGTTTTTATGTTGTTTTTTTGTGTTAAATCTGGTGCTGGCCTGACACGCGCCTGGTTCCAAAAAAGGTTCCCACTTCTTCCTTCTGAAGACGAGATCTTGGATCCCGGGTTCCGGATCATTATTTTATGAGCCTCATCCCTTGGTTTATGGGCCCATTGGGTTGATTTGCGACCACGGTGCGGTGATTCCTGGTCCTCACTGGTTCTTTCGTAAATACAATACAAATTTAGCTTCCTGGTTATTCTACAAACACCAGCACCTAATTCCTGTTTCCCACTGACTATCCACAAAGAACAGATTGGATCCCACCCGTTTTTTCCAGACACCAAACCCTGGTTCTTGTTTCTAATTGGTGCTTTGGTTTACACTGGTAGAGCGTTTTCCAACCTTCATCCCCGTCGAATTGAATCCCTTTCGCACTTTGATGTGATCTGACTTATCCCGGTTGGCTTCGTCCTTTGACTTCTTCCCGATTCGACTATTATCTTTTTTTAACTTTTTCCCGTTTCGACTTTGATCCCTCTTGGCTTTAAGTCCTTCTATTTCTTGCCCGATTAGACTTCTGCGCCTTTCCAATTCCACGACAGTCTACTTTTTCTCCTCTGATTTTTTCGTTCGACTTTCTCCATTCTGCTTTTCCATGCAACGTTTGTTCGGACGTCCGCGTGTCTATTCTGACCTTTACAACACAAAGGAATGCCCGAAAATGTCGCTAAAACTTGCGCTGCCAGATTAGCAGCCATGGATTCTTTTGCTGCGCAGCGACGACAGTCCCAGCTAATTTTCACGACGCAAAACCGTCCGATGGTAGTTTTGTTGCGTACTGAGCAGCCAACGTGCGGATGTGTGGTGGGAACGATTGGTAACATATACTGAAATCAAGCCCGGGAACGTGACCAGAAGCTGTTGGGAATTGAAGTTTTCCTCTCATAAATTGTTTTGCTTGTAACGAGCACAGAAATTCGAGGTCAGAACACTGAGGATCTAGAAAGATGAATGTGGCGCTGCGTTTACCCAAGATTTTGCTTGGAAGGCAAGTGGGAGTGATTTACAGATGCTGCTTAAGCACGGCAGGCCCAGACATCAAGGAACACATTGATGCGTTAGTCAAGGGCAATAAAGTAGTGGTTTTCATGAAGGGTGTGCCTGAGCAGCCAAGGTGTGGTTTTAGCAATGCTGTTGTCCAGATCATGCGGATGCATGATGTGAAATATGATGCACACAATGTCTTGGAAGATGAGTCCCTCAGGCAGGGCATTAAAGAGTACAGTGATTGGCCAACTATTCCTCAGATTTACTTAAATGGAGAGTTTGTTGGTGGCTGTGACATTCTACTCCAAATGCACCAAAGTGGAGAACTCATTGATGAGTTGAAGAAGGTTGGCATCAAATCAGCCCTGCTTGAAGCCGCAATGAATGAAGGCAAGGATGGAAAGTGAAATGGTAATTTTTCACCCAGCTGGGTAGGTCAGCAGCAAGTTTCAATGTGACAATGTCCTTATTTTGAGTGTCTGCAAATGGGGGGAATACATTTGGATGCCCAATGTCTTGGATTGGTTTGAATATGGCATGATCATTGGTCATATAGGCAAAAATGGCAATCTTAGCCAACAGTAGTTTTTTAATGTTAAAAACACTATAACTGCACAGTGAATATAGGGTGGTGGTCACATTATATCAAACATATGATAAATATTGTCAGTGCACCCATCTTTCATGCCCCTAAGCACAAAACATACTTGGAGAAAGTAATACAAATTACAATATCCACCCCCACCCCACTGTAAAAGCATGCTTCAACAGGCAATGTCTAGGTCATGGATTACATGGGTACCTGATGGTGCAATGTCATCTTGTTCATTAACTGATGTTTTTAAGACATCAGACATCATAAATAATCATGAGCAGAAATATTCCAGCAACATCTTATTGGATTGCCTTCAAATATATATATATATATATATATATATATATATATATATATATATATATATATATATATATATATAATAATAATAATAATAATAAAGATAACAGCAGACATCAGTCAAACATCATTCTGTCACAATGATGGTGCAATACTATTGCATCAAGGTCACACTGACAAATTAACAAGTGATTGCATGTTCAAGGTGGAGTTCTTAAAATGCCCCAAATTGTTGTTTTTTATGGATAGCTAGGTAAGATCTATCACTGAAAAGGTAATGATCCTCCCAGTGTAACCAATGCCTGTTACAGATTGCCCTCCATGAGAATGTTGCCACATAGTACAACATGTGATGGTACTAGGCCACCAGGGGCTCCCTGCCACCACTCTTCACATTCACACATAGCAGGAACTGAACTGAGTTGCTGCAGCCTGGATATGGGTGACTATGTTGATGCAAACAGTCACAAAATATACAGAAAGGCATGCCCTGGTTGCCATGGTGATGAAACCATCTACACTGTGACATGCCTAGCCTTTAGTGAGTACTGCCATCAGTAGTTGAGCACCACAGATTGTGGCCTACAGCACAGAGCCAGTTCTTCAGAGGCATATGGCGCTGGTGGCTACACTCACTCATTGACGACGGTGGGCCAGAGCACGGCGTGCTCCAGACTCATCTCGCGCGTCGAGTCGTCCAGCAGGATGTTGTGCAGGCGCGTCAGCAGTGACGTCAGCACACTCAGGCTCGTGTGCTCGTGCACCTGCCGGCAGCGCCGCTCGTGGTACGCCCTCCCACCCGTGTCAACAGCAGACTGGCGTTGCTCACAAACCTTGGGAACGATGCAAACGCGTGCCCTTGCTGACAACTACCCAACATCACACAGGCAAACGGCGCATAAGTACACTGCGCCGGCCGCCACGTATCGCGGCTGTCGTCTTCCCGTTGTCTGGTCTGGCTCTGCGTACAGCAGCACAGGTCCGGCCGCAGCGGCAGGAGCGTGCCGCCCGGCCGCGGCGGCGGGACCGCAGCGCGCCGGGCTGAGTCCGTCTGCCCACCTTCTGTATGAACTGGGTGAGCTGCGTGCGCGACATGATGCCGTGCGGCGAGTCGCGCTGCACGGCTGAGCTGCCGCCCACTGCCGAGCGCTTCTGCTGACCGGTCAGCAGGAACATCGGGATCACTGCCGGGGGGCCGATCGCGGTCAGCCAGTCAGCCGCCAAACGACTGCATAACTGGCAATACCGGTGTGGACACGGAGCCGCCGCACAGCAGCCATACGGAACATGAGACACGGGGCCATTAAGCAGACCAAAAAGCTTCAACACAGATAAACACGAACATAACTGGGCGAAACCGTAACGGCGGCCCGGTGCATAGCGGACACGATGCTTGCGCTACTGCGGCAAGCCAGCCACCGACGTTCTCCGCCACCCTGCTCCCCCATCCGCGTGGCGGGGCCCGCTCCACCGCAGCGACTCGCCTGCGTTCCAGAGGTCGCGCGACATCTTGCGGTTGTTGCCCTTGTTGACGAGCTCGCGGCAGACGGTGGCGAGCAGCGCGGCCAGGTCCACCTGCGACCAGCGGCGCTCTAGCTCGCTCAGGTGGTCCCACTCGCAGACGTTCAGCAGGTAGAGCGTGCAGTGCTCCATGAGCTCGGAGCGCGGGATGACGTCGCTGCCCGTCTGCAGGGCCGACAGGCACGCCTTGGCGCGTGACGTCAGCTCCCGGTAGTCTGCCGGGCAGGGCGGCCGTCCACACGTGCCGTTGGTGATGCGTCACGTGGGCGAGCACGCGACGCGCCGCTCATCTCGGTGCGGTGGCGGCAGTGAACGACCGTCGAGCCTTGTTAAGACGCGACGTGCAAAAAAAAAAGACGGCACAGGCGACAGAGCAGCAGCGTCGCTGAACACGGTCGGCCAATCGCCAGACATCGTGCGTGACGGTACAGACGCGAGAACTGATAGAAACAAGGCTTGCGCCATTTAGTTTGTGCACCGAATGTCATTTCCTTCTTGCCGTCTAAAAGTGTTCTTTGACGGTCTGCCAGCGCGTGCAGCAGCTGTCGGACGCACCTCCCAGCTTGGGCCAGTTGTGAAGGAGCTGAAGCAGGTCGGCCAGCAGCTGCTCCCAGCCGATCAGGCGGGCCAGCTTGGCGGCCGTCTGGCCCTGCGGACCGGCGCCCGACTGCGCTTCCTCCAGGATGGCCTGCAGCAGGTTCCGCGAGCCGTCGAACCGCTGCCGGGCACAGAGGGTCAGCGCCGTCAGTCCGCCGCCCCACCGGTCCCGCCGCTGCGGCCGCCGACTCAGCAAGCCCGGCATGCCGCGCAGCGGCGGCCCGTCAGCACTGCAGCATCGCCGAACTGAAGAATTCTCTCAAAATGTTGCCATTTTGCACAAGTTGTTAAGGTGTTTCAACAGCACCATCGATCTCACAGGCGAACGGTGGGACTTACATTGGCTCCAAACTTACATTCCGAGAACAATATTTTACAACTCAGTGCCCAGTTCCAGTGCAAATAACAAAATGCGGGAGTCAAGGACCGACACCCGACGCTCATTGTTCAAAGAATGCGTAATATCCCGACCGTCGATCAGTATCACTGGGTTTTTCGACGCACTCAGGTGCTCAGGCTTTATGGCGTCGCCTGCTTCTCGCCCTGGCAGGAAGGGCGGGCACCGCGGTAGAGCACGGTGCCCGCCCGGTGAATCTAAACCCGCACCTCTAGTTTTCCAGACGCGCGATGGTTGACGCAGGCACGTTAACTACTACACGCCCCCCACCCGCCGTGGCCGTAGATCAAAACGTAATATCGGCATACAACCATCACCTGCATGAGCCATCACAGATCTTCAGTACGCAAACGACATTCGTTTAAATTTCCACCGCGTCGAAAAATAGTATTTGACAACTGATCACCACCTGCCTCGCTGCGTCAACACCACGTGCCGCCCCATTACGTTGTCCACGTCAAAGCCCCGAAGGCCGTTTGCAATGGAAGGAGTTAAATGGCATCTCTAAGCTGTACTTTTCACTAGGTTCCCTCACCTGTGAAGTAAACCACCACACTGCCGTTCGAGTAAACCAAGCACCTGATAAAACGCAACGTGCATGAAGCTCTTGAACAGTCAGCTTAACTTGTAAGTAATTGTGCTACTTGGTGTCACAAATGCGGTCAGCGGGTGCAAAGAAGCAAGCCCGTCAAAGACGTGACTGGCCGGATGGGACCGCTGAAGCCACGGAATGTAGGGTTAGTTCACGATAAGGCTCCTTCGGTTTTCTTCGCAAAAACGCCCACCTACTTAATATTCCAAATAACGCGAAACTGAATTAAACCAGAGAAACTGCGTCACGTGTGAATGACAATTGCTAACTCAAGTTCAGCGTCCTACAACAGAGTGCATTTTCACTGATTTCAAAAGCCCTTGTTCCCATCCGCTGGAGCGTAAGATAACGACTAGTTTGTGACATGCATGTTGTTCATTTACTGAATCATGTGTGGCGTTACGGGTGTTTTTCATGCTTTCGGTTTGCTAGAGATAGATAGATTGTGATCTGGAACAGGATTTTCACAACCAGACCCTAATTACGGCCGAAACCGTCATAGTTCCTGAACTTACATACCACCTAGCCACGGCACTTACTTTGAGAACTATTTACTGCGAGACGCGGTCAAGAACGCAGACGGCAACTGCCACCGATCAGCCCTTATGGGTGGCTCGCTAGCTAACGATCGGAGGTGGCGCGAGGCGCCAGCTTGATGCACTGGGGCTGAACTGTCTACGGCGAACGGCCGTGTTTCCGGCACTTCTTGAAAAAAATAAAGCACGAACGCACACCTAGCTAACGTAGTGTAATCGTCCTTGCTGTGTTTGAGATCCACTTCAATTTGGAAACATTCCACCATTTCGTGGTGATCACATCCAAACATCGCTTTGGTAAAAATTGGTTGTGACAGCAAAGATTGAGGAAGCAAAACGACTGTCGCCAGGCGCCAACATTGAAGTCAGTAAAGAAGTTAGTGCAGCCTTTTTACAGAAAACACGGTGGTTAATTCTTCAGTTCTCCTTGTACCACATGTCAAGCCGAGTTGGTGGTTGTGTTTAGTATGTTTTCTATGGGTTATAACCAGACAGTCACCTCTTGCGGCGTGGCACGAGCGATGCACTCACAGACGTTACTGTCATCGCCATGCACATAATACCAAAGCATAAACGAATCGACTTCGTCGCATTTGGATGGACCGAACAATCCTGTAATGAGCTTAGAGAGCAGAGGTCTTCTGATGATGAGCATACGCAGACACATTCACATGACGACGGGCATGACATGAGAATCAGCTGACTGCGTCTGGCCTCGCCTGGCACTTGTAATCGGGTCCCGTCCAAGCCGTCCAAGCGAGTCGATAAACTATCTCACATTGGAACGGCGACATTCGGCCAGGGCCGTGGAATGCTTCGCAAACTTCGGTAATCATTCGAATCAGTATGCTTGTGGAGCACCACGTCCTTAATGCTGCACATATCACGCTCCCACTGCATCATTACACTATTGTGATACCCTTCGTTTGTACCACTGTGCCACAGCATCCCCTCTGGTCTTTTACAGATCAAGCTAGGGGAAGGTACTGGGCCGAATTCCCTTCCTGTCTTAACGACCCTCCCCTCGACCCAACCTGGCGAGGACGCCCCTCAGCAACGCCTCAAGTACGGCTCAAGCCCTTCATCCAGCCGGCTGGAACAGCTGGTCAGCCCAGCACGACCAGCACCCAGCACCCAGTACCAGCCGGCAGCGGCACGGAGTCGCCTCACCTTCAGCTGCAGCAGCTCCCTGGCCTTGGCCATGATGATGTAGAAGTAGTCGCGTCCGAAGCCGGCCGGCAGCGACATGATCACACTCTGCACAGGGATGGGCAGCTCCCAGCGGGTGTTACAGCGCCAGAGGGCGCGGCCCGGCTGCAGCTCGGCCAGCTGACGCAGCGTGCGGCCTATTTCGGCCGGCGAGTACGACTCGATCAGACGCCGCTCAAGGAACCCCGCCTGGCGACACAGAGGTACGGTACGACCCGATCAGACGCCGCTCAATGAACCCCGCCTGGCGACACAGAGATACGGCACGACTCGATGAGACGCCGCTCTAGGAACCCCGCCTGGCGACACAGAGGTACGGCACGACCCGATCAGACGCCGCTCGAAGAGCTCTTCCCCCCCCCCCCCTCCCCCGTGGACACAGGGCGTGACACACAGAACGGCTTTGGGCGCGAAGACAGGAATGAGGGGTTGTAGGTTTGCAAGCGGACACCATCCAGCAAAAGCATGAAAATTGGGGTGTGGTGTGCTCCATTAAACGCGCTGCCGATGTGACCCGCAATTTCAACACATTCTTTAGAATTTCCGTGAGGGGATGACATGGTGTGAGGGAGGGGTACCGGTATTCACGCAACAACCACGAAAATTCGGTGCACCACTGTCCTGACCCACTTCTCGAACGGACACGGGCACAGCGATTCGTGAACACCGCACGGCTCGTGACCGCCCATCAGCCGTCTCCGGTCCCACCCCGTCACCCAAACGGCGAGTGGCTCCGGTCACCGGCTGACCTGCACGATCGGGTCGTGGAGGCCGACGGGCGGCTGCGCCTCCTCCGTCCAGTCGCCGTCGTCGGGCTCGGCGTGCAGGCGGCGCAGCTCCTCCAGCTGCTCGGGCGAGCAGAGCGCGGCGGCGGCCCGGTGAGCGGCCAGCGCCGGCACCAGACCGGCCGCGTGCTGCCCGGTGCGCAGCAGCAGCAGCCAGAGCCGCTCGCGCGCCTCCTCCGGCGCCGACGCCGCCTCCAGCACCGCCTGCCGGCCAACAGCGGAAGCTTGGACACGCGGCGCACGCCGCCGGGCTGCGAAGCGGCCTGATCCCGACCATGACGCAGGCCACGCTGCGGATGGGTAGGGAGCACCGGGCAGATTCAGTCCGTCCCAGCTGGCCGTGGCCTGTGCGCTGGTCGACTACACAGCTAACACACACTGACAGCGGCCGAGTCGCTGGGGAGAGGCGCGCAGGGACCAGCCGGTCGCGCAGCCCGGCTGACCGCTGGTCTCTCCAGACGAGCCCGGACTCACATCCAGGAGGAACTGCTCCAGCCGCCGGTCGGCGGTGAGGTAGGACTGAGAGCTGCATCACCTGGTGGACGGCCCTCCAGCGCCCGGCGCACGCAGTTCAGAATGTCAATCTGCAGACAGCAGCGGGTCAGCTCACGAGCGAGGTCAGGAGAACGGTACTAAAAGAAACACTGCCCAAAATGAAGATAGCGAATGCTCACTTTATATCGCCTAAGGCTAAGATTACCCAGCCGAGTCCAAACAACACCGCGGAACGTTTAGAGATAGGCAGTCGTACATATCAATGCATTCATGAAGGGGTACACCAACACAGACCGGCGACAATATCCTGGACCGTATTCCACGAACCGGGATGTGGGTGTCACACAATTTTTACACGCCACGATAAAGAGGGAAAGTTTATACCGCAAAAACCCCACCCGCAAAACGGCTTTCATCTCCAGACAGCACCGCTGACTGCCCCAGAGCCAGTGAGACGGCTGCGGTGCGGGTGCCGTGGCGTACCTTGTGCGCCAGATCCGGCGGCACTCCGTCGGCGCGACGGGCGATGAGCGCCGCTACGTCCCTCGCCAGCGTGTCGCGGGTGGAGAGCGGTCACCTCGCGCCGCCCGTTGTCCTCCAGCAGCACCTGCACCACGTCCTGGCGGCGGCAGCGGGCGTCAGCGCACCAGTCAGCACCGCCGCGGGCCACAACGGGAGGACGTCACACGGTACGGGTGCGCACGAGAGGAGGTCGGCACGGCGCCAGTTCCGCCGGCGGCGAGAGCTCACCTGGTACCCGTTGGCGATGCTGTGCCTCAGCCGGTGGTAGAGGGAGCGCTGCTGCGGCGGACCCGGGTCGCCGTTCACCGCCAGGCAGTAGCCGGCCAGCTCTGCCGCCTTCAGGCACACAAACTCGGACGTCTCCCGCCACGGCGCGCTCTCGTACAGCCGCTGGCTGGCAGGCGAAACAGCGGCCCGCCTCGCCGTACCGGGCTGTGGACAACGCACCTCCGTCAGCAGCCCGCATCGCACCAGAAACGCACAGGCAACACGCGAGCAGACATCGCTCGGTGCGGGCGCAACAGCTTAACAAGGGGCACCCGATGGGGCTAAAGGGCCTGCCGAGCCTGTTCTAGCTCAGACCAGGCCCCTCACCTCCCCCTTCCTGCATAGGGACTCAAACCAGACGACTGGCCGTTCCACTCCGCACCGGGCGCCGCCACCGCCGCCGCTGCCCGGCGCACTCACCCTGGAAGAAATGGAAGCGGCCGAGCTCGAAGCCGATCTGGCAGAGCAGCTCGTCGCCGCTGACCGGGGCCGCCTTCTCCCAGGCGTGCACCGCCTCGGCCGTCTCCGTGTAGCGGCCGAAGCAGCCGACGGCCGGCACGAGGGTGGGCGGCGCCAGCTCAGCCAGGCGCGTGAGCAGCGCCTGCGAGCCGGCCGCCTGCGCCTCCACCGCCTGGCGCACCGCCTCCGTCACGTGCGGCATCACCACCGTCGGGTCCTGCTGGCCGGGCCTGCGGCCGGACAGCGCCAGGTCAGAAGGGTCGCGGACGTGACCCACGTCAGCCACCGCACGCCAGTCGCGACCGAGCAGTGACGCCGGGGTAGACCAGGGGAGCGCAGCCCTTAAACCGCTGGCGCCCTATCGTTCGATTGTAAAGCCGTCACAGTAGTGTCACTATGCGTCATTTCGCACCGCAGCCCAGACTCACACGTGCCTTTTGCAGCGGAACTACGTGAAGGATCACACGCAGACGCTTTTGAACTGACAGTCGGTCGGAGAAGAGCACGCGCGCTGGAAATCCGCGCGCCACCCATACAGCCGTTGAGCGGCAGCGCCAAGAGCGGTCCGCGCAGCGGGGAGCGCGCCGTTCCGCCGCGCGCCGGCGGCCGCCCAGCGCCACGGGCGGCCGCGGCCCGAAGCCCACTCACAGCGGTATGGTGAGGAACCCACTCACAGCGGTATGGTGAGGAGCCCACTCACAGCGGTATGGTGAGGAGCTCACTCACAGCGGTATGGTGACGTTACGCGATGGCCGCGCGGGCATGGCCAGCTGGCAGACGGTCCACAGCGAGCAGTCCGCGCGGCGGGAGCGTGCCGTCCTGCCGCTCGCCGCCGACCGCCGCCCAGCGCCACGGGCGGCCGCGGCCCGGAGTCCACTCACAGCGGTATGGTGAGGAGCCCACTCACAGCGGTATGGTGACGTTACGCGGAGGCCGTGCGGGCATGGCCAGCTGGCAGACGGTCCACAGCACCCAGCGGTGGTACAGGCTGACGGCGAACACCGCCTGTCGGCTGAGCGACTCCAGCGCCAGCTGCGCGTGGCCCGAGACGTCGCCCAGGCCGGCGCCGCACTCGGAGAGCAGCGTGGTCATCAGCGTCTGCTGCATCGGCAGCGGCACCCTGACGACGATGGCGGTCCCGTAACGCAGGCAGGCCGGTGGCAGCCAGCGGCGGCGCCCAGCCATCATTCGGTAAGGCCGACAGCTCCGGGTACAACACAGCTAGCGTGGCTCAGCATCATGAACATCCACATATTCATATCGACTAAAAGTGCGGTAGAATCCAAAATCCTGTCTCACAACGAGAGACCCGTCAGATCCCCACGGCCGACTGCCGCGGCATCGCCCTCACTGTTTGTCCAGCGCCATGAAACTCCAGCGGCGGTAGGCGAATATCTGGACGGCCAGCAGCTTGTACTGGAGTCCGGCCACGCGGCGCGCCACGCGCGCCGTCTGCAGCAGGCTCTGGCACATCACGGCGCGCCGGTCGCCGTCGCCGGCCGGCACCACCTCCACCTCGGCATTAGTGGTGGCGGCGGCGGCGGCCGTGGCCGGTCGCGGCGCGTACGCGATCAACTTGACGATCAGCTCGGCTGCGGAGGGGTCTGCCGGCCGAGCGGGGCGGGGCCGCATGGCGTCAGCTGGTTTGGTGTTGGTCTGTGAGCGAGGCTGGGTTGGACAGTTTGGCGACGGTTTGTGGTGATGATGATTAAGAGTTTTGGAGTGAGTTGACAGTCAGCAGTTATTTTGGGCCCCTAATGACATGCTGGTGTGTGGATTGGGCAGGGCCAGCCAGTGTGGAGCATTCTGAAATGGGCAAGGCTGGACAGTGTGATGCAGTCTGGGTTGGGCAGAGTTAGACAGTGTGGTGCAGTCTGGAATGGGCAAGGTCAGACAGTGTGGTGCAGTCTGGGTTGGACAGAGTCAGACAGTGTGGTGCACAGGTCAAAACAGGTGAAAGTCACGTTTACTTTCGGATGGGGACTTCACAGGAATTTTTTTGTGGGACCATTTGCTCCGTGCCATAAAAATATATTTACAGGTCATAAGTATAATTAGGTCTCAAGCATGAAAACATGTAGTCTTTCTCTTCAAAAGACCATTAAAATGTGTCTCTGCAGCTATAAACTTGTGACAAAAGTCAGCATATGAGACTACAAGTAACCCTACAAGTGAGATGATGAGATAAAACATGGGAAGGGTTAGCTGGGATGCAGAGTATACCAGAGTAAAAAAGAGAAAATACATTTTAAAAGTAAAACACATGCCAGCCTCTTGACAATATTACCTGGTGAAGGCCCTGACAAATGCTCTAAAAGTTTCTTCTCACTGAGAAGCTCAAACCATGGTGTGAGAGTCATCCCAACCAGATAGAAGCAGTTGCAGCTCAGTTAGCAGTCCTGTAAAAGAAAAGAAGGGAGCTTCAGTGATCACTGAAGACACTCAAATTATGAGTGTTATTGAGTCTCAACAGCTACTATGCCTCAATGCCCCCTCAAATTATCATTCTCAGCCTGGATTTTTGTGAATGGAGAAATGATCTTTGTGTGATCTTTGGTTTTCATATCACTGTATGCAAAAGTGAAGTGATTTACAGTAAGCACCTGACATAGGAGAACCACCATCCATGCTTATAATTCATCTCATCATGCCTTACTTTCTGGTCTTTTTTATTCTTTGTATATCAGTCATTCTCAAGTGCATCTGATAGTCCTATTCTGCATGCAATAAATAGCACATGGGCCTGCAGAAAACTCCAGAGTACACCTTTTACAGGGCATATGCTGACACCAAAGTTTTACAGTTATTATGACATAGCAGGAAGAAAACAGGTAAATATAAACATATTGTATGTGTCAAGACAGCATAGCAAAGCATTCTCAATTAAGGATTAGACACTTACAATGGATAAACTGCAACCAGATAGTTTACACATTTCCCTAAGCACATTACGTACATAAAGCAAGAAACAAAATACCCCCAACCCCACACGTCTCCTGCAAATGTTCCACAGCCTTCTCGCATCAACGTCAAAGGTCACAGGGCTACATTCGTCAAGTTGGAACGATATTACACATTCACATTTGCGCGTCACCTCCCACCTACTCACCAATTACGACGAACTTCGGCTAACAGATACAGCTAACTACACTGTTGACGAATATACAAGTGGCTACGAACGTCACAGGGCTTGACCGGCTCGAAACAACCAAAAAATGTATGAAATGCGTCAGAACTGACTTGAACAATAGATACCAAATCCAGTTCAAGGCTAAAGGGATGTTTCACATTTGAACATATTCAAGCAGACAGGGTATGGGACAGATCAACTAAACAGAGAAGCTGTATTGTCTAAAGCGGTCTTTTCCATTTAAAAGCGTGACAACAGCTATGAGTAAGCCTATTGCATGGCATTTGATGCTTGCTCCAGCATCTTTAAATATGCAAAACCC